ATTTTGTAGCTTCTCGTGCCGTCTCTTTACTTCCTTTTTGGTGTCTGCTGCTGCTTACCTCTGTCTTTCCACAATGTGGGGTAGGTAGGAGAGAAAGTAAAGTGAACAGTAGGTATCTCTGGCAGCTTTGAGAAGTTTGGACCATTCCCTGCTCAAACATTCCCACCTGCACAGGCCATTTTCTAGAAATGAATTTCCTGCGTAATCTTGCAAGTCCTTCCTCATCAGGTGACAAAGAGCATTTGCAATGGGTCTTTCCATGTGGTATTTTCAGCAGAAATAGTGTGCTTTCTGCAGTGATAGATCTTGCATAAAGATCTCCAGTTGCGAAATCAGGTCTCTGCTTCTGCATAATGCTGTCCTCAGTAGCGATGTGATACAGGGAGTCCATTCTGACTCACAGACCGTTTATTTATTTAAATAGCTCTGACAGCTGTCTCAGTGTCTCAGAAGGCACTAATTACTGCTTGGACTTTAAATATGCAGCAATAATAATACACTTGAAATGGGGAAAGAAGTAAGAGGCTGAAGTAATGAAGATGATAACTTCTTAGATAAATGCGCAGTTATGGTAAAGGCTATGAAAAAATTCAAACTTGGGAAAATAATTTTATGAAATATTTTCTGAGCAAATATTTTGTTTTCATCTTTTTCCTTTTAAAGAGGGCACTAAAAAGAAGTCAAACTTTCTCATGTGGACCTTCTTTCCCCAAAACTTTTTTTTTCCCCTGTCCCTACCAGTTTATTTTTCCCAAAAAAGAGGGAGAGGATGAATGGAAATAAATGAGGGGAATTATTTTTTCTTGAATTCTTTTTTAACTTAATTTCCTCTTTCTGGTGGAAAAGTTAAAAATAAATTTTAAAAACAAATAATAGAAACGTTTTTTTTCTCTCAAGGAGGTTTTAAAATTATCGGAACTTAAAATATTTGCATGAAGTGTTTCAGGTGGAATTGGAACACTAAATTGGTCCTGGAAGCACTCAAGGCCAGGCTGGATGGGGCTTTGAGCAAACTGGTCTAGAGGGAGGTGTCCCTGCCTACAGCAGGGGGTTGGAATCAGATGATCTTAAAGGTCCCTTCCAACCCAAACCGTTCTATGATTCTATAATTTATTCACATTTCACTATTAATTCTTCAGATAACAGAACTTCAGAGGCTGCATACAGAAACCTAAAACATCAGGGGATTTTCATACATCCTTATTGTTTGGGAACTTTTTATAGCTACAATATGACATAAAAGTATGTGATTAGGGACGAACAAGGTGATGTATCATATAGGTGAGAATAATTTGAGAATCCTGTTAGGATCTGTGTATTCAACTTCAGCCTAGCTCTGTTAGTTGGTAGAATCTGTAATACACTGATTACTAACATAAGTATTTCCAGTGGATTCAAAGCCACTGTGCAGATATAATCTGTCTCTTCATAATATATAACATGTTCCTTGAATTGTTTTGGGAAAGTGAATTTTCCAAAGTCTATGTGTTGTTCTAGACATTGCTCTTTCCTTCTCAGGTTGTCTTTTTTTAAGTTAAGCCTGACCCTTTTCACATACGCACAGTTTCACTCGCCCAGTCAATGTAAGTTTATACAAAGATGTGCCTTGTGAGTCATATTTCCACAGTGGCAGAGAAAACAAAAGTAGATTTGAGGACCAAGTAACCCTGACCTTTTATCGCAACTATCTTCTGCAGAGTTTTTACTGTCCATAAAATGTACTCTTTTGTTTTTATCCTTAGTAATTCTCATTGCATTTCAGGCAAAATAGTACCCTCAACTGTAATTTACATTGCTGTGCGACAGATTATGGTGGTAGATCACAGCACACTCTCCAATTTTTCATTCAGAACAGGCCTTCCTTTTTGACAGGACATGTTTTAGAACACAGAGTAATGCTACACGAAATCTTGCGAACAGGATCACTCAGCTGTTGGCTTTGTAAAGTGATGTCCCAGGCCATTTATCTCTTTTAAAGGCAGTATCTGCAAACTCAGCTGCCAACATTAAACACCTTGCAGTGTGAAAGGCACTGATCTCCACTCTTTTGATGGAGGGGAAAGAGCTCCATGCCGTTGATGTCATATGTGGCTTTATCGTGTTATCTAATATTCTAATTCTTGCACATAGGTTTTTTACTCATTTCCATGTGGCCACCAGGTAACTTTGCACAAAAATCTCCCCCTATTATAAGACCAACATTTTTGCCAATAAAAACCAACTAGTTTCACAGCTAGCATTTCTACTTGTTTATCTGTTTCGGATTAAAGTGATTTCTGTTCATATGATGACCTTTCCATGAGAGCAGACAACGTTTGTGTCATTGTAACCGCATGACATTGTAGATTGAATCTTCTGATTGTCACATTATTAAAATGGTGTATTTGCACAAATACAATATATTCATGTAGTTTCTATCAGCTTATGAGCAGAGGAATTTGGAGCCACTTTCTTTGGACTTTTTGAAATCCCTGTCCAGAGCAGCTATGGTAGACAGTCATAGAATCATGGAATCATACAATGGCCTGGGTTGAAAAGGACCACAAAGATCACCTAGTTTCAACCCTCCTGCTGTGTGCAGGGTCGCCAGCCACCAGACCAGGCTGCCCAGAGCCACATCCAGCCTGGCCTTGAATGCCTCCAGGGATGGGGCATCCACAGCCTCCTTGGGCAACCTGTTCCAGTGTGTCACCACCCTCTGTGTGAAAAACTTCCTTCCTAATATCTAACCTAAACCTCCTCTGTCTCAGTTTAAAACCATTCCCCCTTGTCTGACCACTATCCACCTTCATAAACAGTTGTACCCGCTCCTGTTTACATGCTCCCCTCAAATATTGAAAGGCCTCAATAAGGTGTCCCCGAAGCCTTCTCTCCTCAAGCTAACCAAGCCCTCAACCTTTCTTCATAGAAGAGGTGCTCATGGTGGCTGTGATTTAGTTTCCTTGGCTTTCTGATCTGACCAAAGTACAGAAGAATTTTCCAATGCATAGATTTATTTCTGCAGTTCCATATCTCCATGATGTGTACACCTTAACTGTAGCATTGATTTAGGAAGACACGAGAATCTTCTTAGATCCTGAGTTAGCATGTAGGTTAGTAACTTAATGAAATAGTTTTATTTAGCAAGCTGCTAGATTGGAACTGCGTTTGTATTTGTTTGTCAAATGCCTAGAAATCTGAGACTCTTCGACATAAAAAAAATTAAGGTTGGGAACCCTTCAGGCATTCAGAACAAATGGCATGCTTGTAAAGAAAAAGATTTTAAGTATGCAAATTCTCTTTTAGGAACACCATTAGAAAGCATAGTTCTGGCTGCTCAGTTTCTCAGGACTGTAAGATACCAGGCTTGGGAGAAGGCTTTCTATACTTTTCGGGTGATACAGTTTAATTAGTTTGGGAGCTAATCTCCTGAAGCTCTGAGCAACTTCAGCAGCTATTCTGTAAGGCATGGTCATTTGGGGCAGATTTTTAAGAAGAATCAGGTCAACCTTGAAGATTTTTTGTCATCTGCAGTGGTTATGCGCTCCACCTGCACTTCTAGATACTCAAGTACCTTTCAAAATGAAGTGTGGATTGCTGAATGCTAGACAATGATCACTTGCATTGCTGACTCCTTATGTATTTTGATGTTGTTGCTGAAAGGTGTAACATGGTCTTTTTATCTGAAGTATTACCAAATGCTTCCAGATTCAGTGGGAGGTGACATTTCTGAGTAGGAACTTTCATTATTTTCCTATTATTTCCTGGTCTGCAAATGTTGTTTGCCTTCATTTGTCTTACCTTGCTTAGAATCATCAGAGCTATGACAAAAAACATCTGTGATATATAGCAGCAGTCTCTTCTTTTGCCCTCCCTTCTACTTGATTGATCTAAGCACTTATTAGTGTTCTGTTTTTGTGGTGGTGGAATGGCCACTGCCTTGCATCGCAGGTCCTGTGACCAAGGGGGCTGCAAGGCTGCATTGCCAGTGCATAGATCACAGGGACAAATGTGGAAAACTGTCAGGGAAAAGTAACGAATTGAATCTAGCATCCCATATGCAAGACTAAATAGATTCTGTATTTACTCATCAGAAGATAGTACTGCTCTATTCTCTTAGAAATTTAGTACTACATTTACTTTTGAGATTGACGATATTGAGGTGGAAAGTGCTGCAGATATTTATATTGGCAACGTAGGCTACGTTCATACCAATTTAACAACTCTTTAGATTAGTGATGAATGTGACACCTTTTGCTACAAAGATTTAGGTTTAAATCCATTTCATGGCCAATAGTCCATAAAATTCATCACTGCCTCTACTTCTCTCTGTGATTTGTGTGAAACAAGCTGGAGGTGCCAGCCTACTTATTACCACATGTATTTCCACATTGCAAAGTACATGTTTGAAAATGATGACTTCTTCATTAAAAAAATAAAAAATAAAAAAAATAGCAGTCTGAATTTGAAATGCAGTAGAATCGAAATTAGGCAAGGGAAAATGGAACTGTGAGCCTCAGGATTTGAATCCCATAGTCTGAGTGCAGATATTTGAAAAGATATTTGAATAAACCTAAAAAAAAAAAAAAATTGAATGAATATTTATGATGTGACTTCATACACTTGAAAGAAATTAAAATAGTAATAATAATAGATAGAATTGGTAATTAAGGCTAGACAGCATCCATTTGAGATTAGAGGAGAAATTGAAGAAGAGAAATAGGAGGAGAAATAGAAGGAAGCCATATACTGTTAACCAGAATTAAGCAAAGAATTAAATTGCTATTTAAGGATAACACATGGTCTGCTACCACAGCATACTCCTAAACTAAATGGTGAAGCTCTGGTTACAATTTAGGAGGCTGAATTTCTATTTATTTGTTAGATTCCAGGTTTCATTTTAAGTCTGAATATGCGAAGTGATTTAGTCAGTCTGACTCCCAGGTAGGATGGAACTTATTCCAGAGCTTTAAGGTCTGTTCCCATTTCTACTTTTTGTTCTTTGTGATCTTGTTTTTCAGTGGGAGGAATTTATACCGTGATCCAGACGAAAGCCAAAATTACAGCAGATGAATGGGGTGAAAACTATTTTCTGATTGGTCCTTATTTTGAGCACAATGTGAAGACTCAGGTGGAAGTATGTGAGCCTCCAAACCCTGCAATTAAGAAGGCAATGGATACCATGAAAAGCCAAGGGTGTCAGGTAAATCAGATGTGCTTCTGCTTCTCAGGACAACTAAGCTGACTTTGAGGAGATTACAGTTTTGGTTAATGCTCCCACTGTTCCACTTGACACAGCAGTCCTGGTCAATGTCACAATGGGAAAAGCTCAGATTCTACGGTTAGAACAGCAAAGTCGATTCATTACAGGTTATTTTTGAGGAAGAAACAGTTTATCCAATTAAAGGTTTTAACACTCATTTATCTGCAAGACTACTTAATTGGATTAATGACTTATTTCTCCAGTATCTAAATACAGTGAGATTTTAGTGGATATAATACGACCTTAGTTTGACTGAACCCTTATGTTACCTTCAGCATTCTTGTGCTGTTGAAGAAACTTTAAGAAAAGCATCTCATCATCACAAAATTTTTTTATGAAGCAATGTGCTGAGTTGAAAGACACAAAGGGAAAAACCACAAGTGTGCTTAAGAAAAAGCACCCAACTGATAAAGAATCTGCTTCCTCAGATCAATACAACTGACTATCCATTCCCTAGAAAGAGGGTTTAAGCTGTAGCATACATAGGGAGTTAATCTGTGTTTCTTGCTCAGGTTTTATTGGTGTTTTCTCTGGGACCTCAGATCAATCTCATAGCTTGACTCCAACCATAAACTAGTAATAAAGTGCTTCTTATTCAGCAGTGAGCTAAAAATGGCACACCAGCTGTGGCACTGGCAATGTGTTATTTCCTTTTGCTATGGCAGTTCTTAAGTTCTCATGCCCTGCTATGTGTTAAGTACACTGCTGGAAATGCATGAGCCACAGCTTGGGATAGTGTCTGTTGAGGATGCTGTTGTTGTACGATGCTTGGCATTGTTAAAAATGAAATTCAAACTGAAAGGTCTAATCTAACAGGAATATAAATCTGTATTTTTATCAGACTTCCTAAGTGAATTATCAAGTTTTATGTGCTGCACCTGTTCCTTACAGAGAGATGTCTCTGCAAGGTAGCACTCCTTTGTTTAGATAATAGCAAAAGGCTTGTGGGGCGGATTATTTGCAAAGCTATCCATACATATATATATACTTTATGCTGTTCCAGCATACATTCAATTTAAGCAGTCAGCTCTGGCAGTCTGACATGTGCATCGTTCTGCTGGAGTATTCATATATAGCAGGAGATCTATCCCAGGTACGTCAAGTATAGCTTTGATCTCTAATAATGACGCTTTAGATTCCAGGAGCTGCACTTATCCTATTATCAGTGTGTCTGGATTTTGCTTATGTATCACAATGGAACCCTTTAAACCAGGGGACCTAGGAAAGCTTCCGAACTTCTCAGGTCAGGTGTGTTCCTTGCCACAACTTGACACCGTATTTAAAATCAGGGTTCACGCAGGATCCCTGCCCATCAACCTCATTTTCCTAAGGAAGAAACCAGAATAGCTTGAAATACGTATGTAAGGGCCTGAGCTTTCTTCATATAGCTACCTTTGATGCAGCTTTTATTTTTTGTGCAAATAGGTCTGAGAACTTTAGTCTCTGTTTTCAAGACCTGCCCTCTGTCTCACCAGCTCTAACATTAGGACAGGATTCCACTCTGGAGAGCCCAGGGGCTGGTGAATTAAATGCAATTGAACAACAACGTAAAAGATTCCTATGAGCCGGGTACAGAGTATAAACTGCATTAATCTACATATAGTACCTCATTATCCACAGTTAATATGCCTCTGCTGCTATAACCATTTTGGGTTGAAGACCCAAATGAGTGAGATAATTTGAAATAAGGTGAAATAATCTGACTGTGTAGACTGCTGCAATGTGAAATGTGATCCAAATTGCATTGTGTTGCCTTAGGACAGTTCAGCTTATTCTCCTTGTTGTGCAGGTAGGTTATTATCACTGGAGTTATAATTCTGTTACAGATGTTTAAGTGTACTGATGCAGATAAAGATGGAAAGCTGTATATTTGGGGGCTGATATTTTTAGATATTGTAACACCTTCTGATTGTTTCTTCCTCTCTGCAAAGGGCACCAACTGTACTGTGTGGGCAGAATGAGGAAATGTCATGCAATTTCCACTTACCCCGACCTTTGATCAAGTATTACTCCATGTATTTTGCAAGGAAAGCCACAAATCCTGGGTGTAGAGGACTATGATCCTTAGCATTCCTTATGTAAAATACGTATGATTTGATGGATGAAAATACTTGTGGAAATTTGTTTTCACATTCACTTTAACATTTTCTTCTTATATCTTTGCCTATTTTCTTTAGGTCTTTTTTGGAAGATGGCTGATAGAGGGCAGCCCATATGTCTTACTGTTTGATATAGGATCAGCAGCCTGGAATCTGGACAGATGGAAAGGCGAATTTTGGGATGCTACCAACATAGGGATTCCTTTTCATGACCGAGAAGCCAATGATGCTGTAATTTTTGGATCAGTAACAGCCTGGTTTTTAAAAGAGGTACAGTTTTTAAAATCTGGAGTTTTTAAAACCTCAACCTTGTCAGCAGAGAAGAAAAGTTTTGGGATGTGGTTCCTGACCTGGATGAAATTTGTATTTATAACTTAAGTCTTATCACTTTAATTATGTTTTTCCAAGTCTTATGTGAAATGTGCCATGTCTTCACTGTCATTTCTTACTGTTTTTTTTTTTTCCCAACTCCTTTATTTGTCACTGGGTGTTCTTACAGATAAGATCCCAAGCTCCCTTTTCCTCTCCTACCATAGTCAAGTTGTCACTCTCACAAACGTGTCATGAAGCCAGTAAGAAAGTTCTCTCAGCTGCTAGATTGTACTTTGCAGAGATGTTACAGACAGAATGAATGACAACACCATGACTTCCATTACTCTTACCACAGCATCCCTGAAAAAACAAAACTTTGTCAATCTACAGAATCATCTCCGTTAGAGATGCTCATGACTTCTTTATCTAAATTAGAGTTTCAATAGCAGATAAGCAAGTTCAAAGAATGAACAGTGACTGTCCTTGCCAGAGCTTCCCAGCGCTCTAGGAAGGATGCTGTTCTGAGGTACAAGTGAAGGACATGTGCTTTGTGTGCTAAGGATTAAGGCTGACAGGAATCAAGACACATGACCACTTAGAACACTATACTGTTTGGTCATATGAAAGAGCACACACACAAGACAATATGAAGGAAGTTTCTGAGGCTGGGATGATGAACTGGATAATACACGTTTAATATATGTTCTTTCTAATTTTTTTCAGCTTTCCTGTCAGTTTGATGACAAGCCCAACATAGTTGCTCATTTCCATGAATGGCAGGCAGGAGTGGGTTTAATACTGTCTCGATCTCAGAAACTTCCAGTTGCCACAATTTTTACTACCCATGCCACTCTGCTTGGGAGATACTTGTGTGCAGCCAATATAGACTTCTACAACAATCTTGACCAGGTAAGAGACAGTTTTCTTATTCCTTCTCTTTTTTTCCACCTAACCAGCTCCTAGTTCTTTTCTGTTTATTGTGCAACATTATATATTACATTTTCCATGCTGTGTGATCACTTAAGTTGTCCCACAGCAGAGTGATAAGTCATTGGTTCCAACACATAAGAAATGGTAAGATCTTGAGGTGTGTAGAGCCTTGTGCTTTTGTCTCTATGCCATCTTTCTGTAGAGTATAAAATACTTGTACTTCCTTCAATTAACTTTAGGTTACCAGATTTTCACTGCGGAGTACTGAAAGTCATTCAGTCTTTAATCAAGTCAGTGCTTTGGTCCAATCCACAGCTATATGGAATAATATTGCAGCTGTACAGGTTTGCCCACAGAGATTCATAACCTTCTTTTCAATGATTTGGAACATTCTCAAAAGCATGGGAGAGTTATAGGGCCAGACATCACTGCAAGTAGCTTTGAGAATCTTCCCCTTCATGTTCAGGAGCAGTGATCAACTCAAGTAATATATGCTGCATTTTCTAAGTTAGTTAGCAGTCTGAGTAACTAGTAAATTTGAAACCCATACAGCTGTAGTCAGGTACAGCCTCACAACATTCTTTCTTTAATGAAAGTTCGTAGAAAAAAATAGCTAGTAGCTCTCTGCTTGCAGGAGATATCCTGTAGTGCCATTAAATGTTTTTTTTTTTTTGATTTTGCTGTTTCCTTTCCCCAGACTATTAATTCTTGCAAATCATAAGTCCTACTTTCAAGCTTCTCTGTAACAGAGAAGGAAGTATTTTCTGAGTTTAAAAGACCCACATCCACTTCTGGGAATTCTTGTAAACTCTTTAGTGGCTTTGGTTTTTGTTGTTCCTTTTCAGTCAAAGCATAACATAAACTAAAATTTCAAGGACCCAGATATCTTTAGTACTGCCTTCTATGGAGTCACATTACATGATTTGGGATTTCTAGTGTGTTTACAGACAAATCAAGAACAAGAGATTCTTTTCATTCCAGTGTGTATTGAGGGCAGCTTTAGTCAAAAGGTTAAAACAACTGCTTTATTCACTGTTCAAGCATTTCCTTGGCTAAAAGCACTGAATAAAATGAATCAGTTTGTAACATAATTGATGTTTATTCCACTCTGTGTCAAACTTAAGTGTCTCCCAAAGACAAGGCTGAAGCAGTAGTATGATACTGTCCTTATTCAAAAGCACAGTAAACACAAGCCAAATATCCTCCCTCATATTATCTTCTGTAAAATCTGTCTTACTCTATCACCTAGGAGAACTGCTCTCCTGAATTAGATATCATTAGATATTAGATATGATCAGACATTAAAGAGGCAGCATGCCATCAGACCAAACTTTAGGAGTTTAGACATTCCTACTCCCTTATATTCTCCTTATATGTATATATGCAAATTTTAATTACAGTCTCAGTACTGTATCTTTCTCTGGACAGAGCTAAACTGAAATAACTAAGGTCATCTCATTTCAGATTTAACAGGGAAAGCAGGGACTTTTCAGCAAAAAAATCATTTGTTCAACTTGCATTATTAGACATAATTTGTTAGTGAGGAAGCTGCAATTAAAAAAATGAAAAGGTATTTAAAATGAGAAACTGGAGTTTAAAAAAGAAGTGGGAGGAGCTAATAGCTTTATAAATCGATTCTAAAAATACTGTCAGAGAATTTCCTTCCTTTTGTAAAGAAAATTAAAAAAAAAAAAAAAAAAGAGTTTCATATTCTGATTAATTTGGTGAGCTACAGGAAGTCTTGTGAAATAGACTCCTTTTCTGAAAAGCACTTTTTTTTTTTCCTCAGTGATAATTTTGGGTCCTCATCCTTACCTGTGTACTCAAAAGAAAGTCATGAACTTGCATCTAAGCAGACATACAGAGTTTGGTATATTTTTATACTAGTCACAGTATTTATATCATTTTTAATGTTCACACATTACATGGCCAGCCTTTATGTGATTAGCTACAGTGTATCCTATTCTGAATCTTCACAAGCCTAATTGGTTACAATTAACTATGTGATAAATATAAATACAACCAGTTTTATTCTAAAAATATATTGAATAAAACATATGTATCTATTTAAAATATTATAAACTGCTGTAGAAAATATTTTGGTGAGGAAAGTTGTGGACGTCTAGACCGTACTCCTTTATGCCCTCTGCGTAAAGATTGACATTTACATGCAGTGTTAATACATGAAACGATGCCAAACTCTTACATTGCTGTTTTTCATGCTTAAAAGGTGCTAAAGCTCTCCCTGACAAATTTAACATTTAGTGAGAGATTAGATATCTAAATGAGGGCTCCTTTCACTGTAAAAAGGTCAGCTGGGCCCAAAAGCTTGTTGAGAAACGTAAGAAGTTGATCTAGAGTTTGGTAATTAAATGATACAGATGTGTCTTCAGAGGGTATTGTTGCTGTCCTCCAGTAGTAAACTATTAAGGTCAAACAAGTGATTTGTGCAGTGATGGAAATTCTCCAGGGCTTTGTAATATTAAACCTTTGGATGAGACAAAATATTTTTAGTACGTGTGAGCTCCCCCTCACAATTATGATAGCTGCTTTATCTGTTAGTGCCATTGCATGATGTTCTTTAAAGCATAATAGCAATAAACTTTACTTACTTTTGATCAGCTTTTCCTGGCTAGAATATATTTTCAACCAGCTTTAAGTACAGCAGTCAAGATGGGTGGGAAAGAAGTCACTGTGGTGTGTTCTGTGCCAGATATAACAGAAAAACAGTTGCAACACCACAGGAAAAGGTATGGCCTAGTTGTACTTGGAGATGATCTGACATAAACAGTTCCTGCAAAGAAAAACAGGAAAATTCACGTTTCCTTTTGTAGTCCTCAACACAGTCCAAGAAAAGCCATGTTTGAATGCATACTAGAGGGGTCTACTCTGGTCACTGAAGCCAAGCACTGAAGACCAGCACTTTCTTCAGTGCTGAAGAGGAACTTAACAGTGGGATCCACAAATACAACCTTAATATGGTGTTTGGATGCCTGAGAAAAGATGCTTGCCCAGTATCTTCAAAGTCCTTTCTCTCTCTTTCTTCTTTCACAGTTCCTTAGCTATGTTCTTTCTCACCGTTGTATTTCCCATTAGCCCTGAAATTAATGCACTGTTTGTCCTCCATTGTCCATCAGCCCTTCTCTCTTTGCACACACACATACAAACACACGTATGCACACGTATATGCACTCAGTGCAGCACTCTTTTACCCAGTGTTATTATGCTCTTATAGATAGGCAGTACCAGAAGATACAAGCTGAGTTGAAAGATCTCTTTTAAAGATGTGAAAGTGTTACTGAGATTTTCTTGAGTCTACACTGAAAAATACCACTTTGATTCTAAGAAAGCTTAATATGTACCACTGGCACAAATACAGAAAGTAGAAATGTATTCTCTAAAATAAGACAGTGAGAATATTTTGGCCCAAGTCCCATCCTGTTTGGAGTATCAGTGATCATGCAAAGGGCTGTGCAGCGTGGCCTGGCTGATATTTTTCTCTATCACTCCTATTAACAAAAAAGTCACCAGCTTCTACCTGATGGAGAAGTAGAAGAGAAGGCTCCATGTGATCTTCTGATAGTCTTTAGAAACACTGGATCTGCGAAAACTTGGCTTTCAGCTTTACTTCCTTTTGGTGGAAGAAACAATTAGTGCAAGGTTGCCACACTGTGATGGTTCTTTAGACTCCTGAAATCAATTAGGTGCCTGAACTATATGTCACCAGGACTCTATGGCTGCATTCCTATGTTGTCAGTCTGTGAGCTGTAGCAAACCATTTGCAGGATTTGGGAACAATGAGAGAATTCAAAAATCAGTTTGAATATTGGTTGCGCCAATGTTATGAATTGATTGTTAAGGAGAGCAACTGAATCTGAATGGAAGTAAGGAGAGAGAATACTGTTTATAGCCTTATGGTCATCATGTATCGAGCCAAAATAGCTGGAAAAAACAGGGAGCTAAAGACCTTTTCAACCTCTCCCCAAGCCATTTGTTATTTACCTTGGTCGGAGACAGGATCCTTGTCAGCATCACTGCTGCATCAGTGATACAGCATCACTGGTTGATGAGAGTGTGCAATTCTTACATTCTTACAGATGTAACTCAGTTCAGTTGGACTGGGAAAAATTCAGCTGGTCCTGCTCCAGTGAGAAGTCAAGCATTAAATCCTTAACAGCATGCACAGGATCATAGTAAATACTAGAAATAAAACTGTTGTGTTCAGCCGCATGTAACAAACAGATAGTATGAGCTGAGGACCCCTGAGGCAATAACCCTGAGGCAACACTTCAGCTTCAGTTCTTTGATTCACATTTAAATCACTCTGATTCTGGAGTGAAGAAGGGAGGGAAAGCAGAACAAAACAGAAGCTGATTTGCACAGTAACTAGTAGTGTCTGATATTTGTATTATTGTTCAAGCATCTGAGGAACCCTGTGTAAACAGATGGGGGTCATGGACTGCTGAACCTACCTGAACCTAAAATCTTCTATAGTCAACACTTTCTTATTTCAACAAGCAGAATATGTTATGAGCTTCATTCCCAATACATATATTATCATAAGTTTAGCTGTGCTTAAAAAATTTTTCAGATCTAAAAGTCCAACCAGCAGTGCTTTTTTTTTTTGGTTTTTTTCCTCTTTTCCCTATGTCCAGCGTAGCTTTTACACTGATGCAAATAAGGTTTTGTATGTTGCTACAATAAAAGTTCTGTGAAAAAGGTCTGAACCTGCTAAACCTTTTTCCTCCCCAGGAGCAGCTGGTTTATTGGCTGAAGATGGAGGATTTTAATCTTTTATATCTTCCTACATTAAGGAATCTGCTTTTCTTTCCTCCTCTCCTTTCTCCTTTTCTTTCTCCTTTTCCTCCTCTTGGATTTTAAATAGACCAATACCTTTTGTAATTGACTGAGAGACAGTGATGGTCCATGTTGGTTCCTAGATGAACTAGGAACAATCTTTTGGTCAAATGATCTAACCTGGAATTTCACCTGGAAGGTGACCTGGATCACTGGCTGGCATAGCCAAGAAGTCTGTGGGCTCTGACCTCTGCTGATTCTTACTAAAAAAAAAAAAAAGGTATTATAATAGAAAATGCACTCAGGCCACAGACATGATCAAAGGACTGGAGCACCGCTCCTACGAAGAAAGGTTGAGGGAGCTGAGATTGTTTAGCTTGGAGAAGGCTCCAGTGAGACCTCATTTCAGCCTTCCAGTACTTAAAGGGAGCTTATAAGCAAGAGGAGGACCAACATTTTACACAGTCTGATAGAGAAAGGACTAGAGGGAATGGCTTTAAACTAAAAGACAGGAAATTTAAGTTAGGTATTAAGAAGAAATTATTTACTAAGAAGATGATGAGGCATTGGAACAGGCTGCCTGGGGAAGTTTTGGATGCCCCATCCCTGGAGGTGTTCAAAGCCAAGTTGGATGGGGCCTGAGGCAGCCTAATCAGTGAGTGGCAACCCTGCCCACAGTAGGGGGTTGAAATTAAATGAGCTTAAAGGTTCCTTCTAACCTGTCTTTCTATGATTCTGCAATTCTGTGATAGGATTCTCTGTGAAAAAGAAAAATAAAAGATTAGTCTCACTCTTCGTAGCGGTTTTCCTTATATAAGGCTATCTTGCCAGTGAGTAGCACTTCTATTCAGACCTAGAAAATTTTACATTCAGTTCATTCAAGTGTGACTGAAAATAGTTCAGAAAGGAGTGGAGAATTCTGCCTCATCAAGTCTAAAAGGAAAAGTATTGAAAATCCCAATGGAAATGAATCTTTGAGAGCTTTTATGCTGACAATGTAAGAGCACAAGCTTATGTTCTTCTTAGTACTGTATTGTCATACCTGTCACTGAGCTTGCTGTTAAACAAAGCTGATCCGCTTTGGTAGTGGCTAATGAAATCTGACTTAAGCCAGGAAGTACAAATTTTTGTCTTATTTGGCTGTACCACAATACGAGTTCTATTTGCACAAAATAACAATCCATGGGAGTTAAAACTGATGTAAAGTAGCTTTTAAAAAAAGTGATTTTTATACCCTTCAGACTTCTCCTGCTTTTACCTTCGAAGATCCTCTTAGCTCTCTGAACCACAGTGTCATGCTGGGAGTTTCAGTGTTTAACTACTGTTCTCCCTAACATTTTAAGATACAAGTGAAATGTGTTCATCACCTGGATCCATAGAAAGGACAAAAACGAGTTGGAATTTTTCCTCAGAGGTGCATTACAACAAATGCAAATTTCAGTCAAAAACCTGTGGAGCATCGTCTTGTTTTGTTTTGAAGTCAGTGACCTTATATGAGAAACATTTTCCCATCTAATCCTTGCCATCATGCAAACTGTAATAATCTGCTTGGTTTCCAAAGATCAGAGTGGGAGTATAACCTCACTGAGAGAAATGGAGTATTTACAGTGAAGAGCTTAGTTCTTAAATGCCGTTGAGGGAAGAGACAATGAGTCTGTTTTCCTTTTGCTGTAGCTTTCATTTGTGGCTTTGTCAGTGTTCTAATTTGCTGATAATGTCAAACAAACAAATGTAAGCATTATTCACTTCACAAATATTTTGTTTTGGCCTCACTGAACATGAGCATTTTGGAACATATTTCATAGATGCTTGAGCTGTTTCTGACAAGCAGTGCATCCAGATCACAGAACAAATTGCTGTGTAGAAACACAGGTTTGGAGGTGAAGAACTGTGCTGACAGTCTGCTTCAGTTTGACACAGTAGGTCAGATGAGAGCTGTGCCCCATATTACCCCTAGTTCTGGAGTTAATACTATCACAGCAAGCTCAGCTGTCTTTTCCCAGTACTCCACTGTGTGACTAAATGTGTCTCTTGCACTGTCTCATCGGTTAAGTTCCATTCAACCTGTCCTTCAACTTGTCTAGGACTTATTTTCTGAAGTCACTTGTCTAGCCTGCTCAGAGGTACACGATGAGATTTATCATTTGACACTATAAATGAATTTAAAGGTTAGGATCTTGCTGTGTTGATCAGTGAAGGAAACTGCTGTAGAATAATTACAGGTAAAATGTGAGAACTCTGTGCGCCCAGTTTATATAAGCTAATGGACTAGCAAATTATTGCTAACTGAATTGCATACCTTTGAAAAAGCATGCCAAACATGCCAAGCATGTGCAAAGTAACATCTCCCATTTTCAGAAGATGCAGAAATGAATATCAGTGAGGAGATATCATTCTGTGGATGTATTATTCTGTGGATGTGCTGCATGTGTTAAGTGTTCATTGCAATCAAAGAAATAAAAGCTAGAAAGGAGTGAGCCATAGTGTTTGTAACAAACCCTTTATGAATCTTTCTCCCAGTAGAATTCAAGGGAGTGTTTAGTTAGTGAACATGTCCCAAATGTAGTTTTTAGTAACATTTAGTAAAAAAACAGTTATTGGTGAGAAAAAGAAAAGAGAGCAGAAACGTTTTAAAGTTTGGCTAGCTATGTTTTTCATTAGCAGTTAAAAAAAAATTAAAGTCAAACATATTTAAATAAACTTTTGCATAGCTTTGAGTGTGCAGTGGCATCTCATTTTTGTCTTTGCGCAGCATGGTATAGAACTGTTCCATTTTGCGTTTTTGGTATACAGGTTGGTTGAACAATCACAGTGATCTTACTGTATGTTTGTTCTGTCAGTGTGCAATCTGCTACCTTATTTAGTACATGCAATTAACATTTCTGCTCCGAAGATCAAAACTGTGGTTTTCTGAAAGCTATTTGTGGCATTTATAAGTGATATATGAATGTTCCAGTAACATTCATTCATTAGTTTACCACACACTTCAGGGTGTGGGGGGTAGCTGCGCTATCAAATTAAAAAAAAAAAAAAAAATTAAAACCAAAAAATATTAAACACAGACTACAGGTCCCATGAATTTCCAATGCAGATGTAAATGTTCAAGTGTTTCCACAGATCAGATTCAAAGGTATCAAGATAGTCTCCCAGAAAAGTAGAAACGCAGTTGGGAACTTATTGTAAAAGATTTGGGTTAGGATAAGCCAAGCTTCATGCTAGAGCCCCATATCACTTTCAGGAGTTTAATTACTTTTTTCTTCTTTTCTCTGCTTTCAAGATATGCTCTGTACCAACTGTTAGCATGTACTCAGTGTGGAAATTCACATTCTAAATAGCTTAATTCCAGGCTAAATTCCAAAGTACTGGAAGCAACTAGCCATGACAAAGATCAGACAGTTGTAACTATAGATAGTGCTATCTGCTCAGCCTGTAATAGTGGTTAAATCCATTACGGTCAATGAAGTTCCAGAGTCAAATGCAATCAAAATCCGACTGTGCACCTAAAATTAGGCACTGTTAATGACATAGCACATTGAGAGACATTGTCACACTCCGTGTAACTAGCAGTCTGTTTGGTGCCCATGCTGTTGACCTTGGGAGAATAACCTTGATGTTCCCAGAAGTGAAACATCATGTAAGACTAAGAGGATTGACGTTTAATTGTAATCATTGACACTTCATTAGCACTGTTCTTTTTTAGACTTCATTGTATTGACTTTGCAGTGCTCATCAGTAATGAAAATTTGATTCTGTGAACCTTTATACATGAGCTCAGTAGGTATTTTAGATTTTCCTTGCTTTGAACTTCGTGATTACATTCCCGCTGCACAGGTTTTACCAGTTTTTGTTTCACAAACCTCTTTGTGAACCAGCAAATTCATATAAGAGGGACAGGAAATATTCCTTTTAAATGCCTTTATTCCTAGTTCTGGAAAACTTTTGTAAATCTGAATATCTAACATGCATTATTCACATGCATGCATGAAATGCAATCGCATCTATCTAGGAAACTATCAGATACTTACCAATGCACAGGAACATTACAACATACTATAAGGCATGTCCTTCATAACCATAGTGGAGAGTACAAGTACGGAGCTGTAGTTAATAGATACTGGGAGAAGATTGATCCTTTTCATGTTGAAACTTAGAGTGATCCAGACCTGACTTTTCTTTTTTGTTTTGTTTTGTTTCTACTTAAATCTACTTAAAAAGACACCTGCAAGATTTAAGGGTGATTCAGAAATAATTCAAGGTGATTTTATCTGGAGTTTAACTTAATCTGCCATTGGAAATTAATGGCCTTCAAACTGAAGTAAAAGAAACAGCAAATAATTGTGGTGAGCTTGAAGGAAGAACAGCTCTGAGTATCAGAAAATGCCTCAGTTTCCATTTTCCTTGTTCCCTCAGGCTTTGTGACTGAATGTTTACATCCCACTCCTCTAAAACAACTCAGTTTCTCTCCTGACTAGCCTTGATTCTCACTATGTTACCCAGCCTCCAGATCTCCTCTGATCCTCATTGTGTTTCTCTTCTTTTCCCTCTGTTTCCCTCTTCTTTAAAGAACAGCAAGTTCCCTGTTCTTTAAAGTTTTCCAGCAAGTCCAATCAAGAGGCTGCATGACGTGGCCAGTCTGCAGGCCAAACAGCATCGATCCTTACCTATGTAGGAATCATTAATCTGGGTTTCCTTCCCACTGTTCAGCTGTCATCTTTTTCCCAAATAGGCATGAGCTGAGATCTGACTTTCTCCATCAGTCTGTTGACTCTCCATAGAATGGTTTGATAAACAGGCAGAGAGACTATAATCACAAATGATTCCCTTGAGAAATCTAGCTTAACTCAAGAGACTTTCTTTATGGTAATAAATCTGGTGGGCACACTGTATAGATATCTTTTTTTTGTATATTTTGTTATTTAACAGTTTGACATTGACAAGGAAGCAGGAGAGAGACAGATTTACCATCGATACTGTATGGAACGGGCATCCGTACACTGTGCCCATGTGTTCACCACAGTCTCACAGATAACAGCAATTGAAGCAGAACACATGCTTAAAAGAAATCCTGGTAAGACTTGAATTTTTTCCTTCTTACATTTCCTCTCATTACCTACATTTTCTCAGATTGAATGAAAGCAACAGGCATAAAAACATAAGAGCAAGGCACACTGTGTAGCTATGTGTGGCTACACTGCAGAGAACAACTGTTTTTCAAAAGGCATGTACAGACAATATCACTCGAAACACATTCTAGTACCATATGTAATCTGGAAAAAGTCAAGTTCAGCATCATGCAATAATTATATTCCGTACCATTTTAGGAGAGTATTAGTTTACCTCTGTGGATGTCAGGATTTTTTTACAGGGAGTTTATCTACAGTAGGAAACATATATTTCATCATCCTCTGGTGATGCTAATATATTCTAGTCAACTGAAGAAAACAGAAGGTGGAATCTTTGTAATACATTTCACCAGCTTTCACAACTTGCTTTGCTAGTAGAGAGTGATATGCTCTTATAGAAATGTGGCAAAAGGTTTCATATGTGAAATGATCTTAGATGTATTATACTTTCCAGTGATTATGCTGTTCCTCTTTACTTAATATTGAAAGAGATGAGAAGGCTAAAACAAACCATAGATCACTACAACTAATTTCTGTATAAATATCACAGCCAGGAACAGCAATGTGGTTGAGGTCATAAGCATCTTAGGACTTAAGCATGATAAGTTTCAGAGATGGATATATTATTTTTTGCTAGACAATCAGAACAGTTTAAAAACATAGTTAATGTATGTGCCCAAAAGTTTGTTTAGCCCTATGCATCACTCTCATTAGATATGGAATTTATCAGAAAATTTGTCGTATAACATATAAGGTAATGAGCCCAGTTTGATGAATCATTAAAGCTCTTTTTAAATCAGCACAATGCTTTAGAAAGATAAGCCATAGCATTCCATCCACAGGTATACATAATTTTGAGATTGTTTAGCAGATGTGCTCACGTCTTGGTTGTTTCAAATATAGCAATTCTTTAAGGACATTTAAGGACTTTGGGTTTTTGCGGTTTTGTTTTGAATTTGGTTTATTTATTCTTTTTAGATTTATTTTAGGTGAATTGCAGTGCTAATTATAGATCTGGAACTGTTATCCCTGCTACCTTCAGTGCCACAGGCCACACCACAATTTCTGCATTAGGATAAACAGAAAGTTATCCACTGGACCCTTAACTTCATTGCAGTCTGACTGAAAAGAATGTGGGGTCAACAGAACAGAAACATCCTCCTTTTCTGTTTACAAACAAGCAATCTTCTTCTCTGACCTCCTAATTCACTATGGGAGAACTGGTTCATATAGGACTTAACTTTAATACTGCAACCACTTTCAAGCTCTTCCTAACAACATAGGAATCTTTGACTGTTTTTCTTTCTGGACAGTTTCCATCCATTCTCTGGTATTAATGAGGGATTTTTGAATATTTTCACTCATCCACAGCAGGCTGTATATTGACCAGTCTCATATCCTTTGATTAAAATGCAGCTCCATTTACCCTTTCATCAGTAGTGGTGTTCAATCTGTCATTTACATCAGTCTCCGAGGTATAAAGCGAATGTGGTTTCCCAAACTGACCAGTTCGCTGTTTCTGCTCAACAAACAATATTTCAATTCTGTGCCCTACTGAAAATAAGATGAAAGAGGGCTTTACTCCCATTGTAAATGCGGGGTCATTTTGTTTTGTTTAATGAATTGGTGAAAATTCTGTTCAAACATTGCCCCAAGTGAGTCAAATCAGAATCAGTTGATTTCAGGAAGGAAAGGAAAGAAACTGGAATTGATTGAGGTAATAATAGCACAGGATGATATTTTCTGTTGACAAACTGCAAAGATTCAGGGCTTTTTCAGAGTTTTCTCTTACGATTTTGGTCAAATATATACAGCTACAAAATCTAGGTCTAGATCTTAACTAAGTCTCCTGGAACTTTGATTCAGAGTATTCTCTGCTGCTTAGGAAATGTATGTTTTGTAACTGAATGAAAATAATAGAAATCCCACAATATTATCTTTCAAATCATGGATAAAACTTATGATCAGAGACAGAACCTTACATGATTCATCAGAGAGCAGGTTTAACGTTAGACACTCAAGCTTTTGTCAGATAATTTCCTAAATTATTATTCAAATTGAGTACTCCTAAAAATTAAGCACAACAGCAGCATGTGAAGTTAGTTTGATGTAAGCAGTCACTCTGCCAAATTTAGACTGTACACTTTATCTAGCAAGAATGCAAACTGCCCTTTGCCCCAGTGCAAAAGCTCTCTTTTCTGTTAAATCCTCAGAAGTCTGGATAGAACAGGCCTCTGTTATGCCATGCAGTGAGTGAGTGTGTAGTAGAACACAATTTCTGCTTTCAAGAGCTTTCTATCAAGTAATAAAGCAGGCAACGGTGATATCAGGATTAAAGATGTAAGGGACATATTACACAAAAAATGGCTAAGTGGAGGCATAAATTCAGTCTTGAGAGGACAACAAGGACCTTTATATCCAGCAGGGTTTATATTAACATTGAGTACAGGTCAAAAGAAAGGCACTTCAATGTTGTAGAGAGTGGAATATAACATATAATAGCTTTGTGGACAAAACTAACAAAAACCATTGTATTAGGTAGTGCTGTTCTCGAGCCATGAGTGATAAGACTATGTATTAACTGTTCACATACTGCCATTGGAAGGCACACTTGTTCTTTCCTTAAGAATTTCTCTGACTCTGAAGATGTTTGCCTCTGCCTTTTCTCTGCTTTTCCAGATGTTGTCACTCCAAATGGCTTGAACATTAAGAAGTTTTCAGCAATGCATGAATTTCAGAATTTGCATTCCATGTACAAGGCTAGGATTCAGGAGTTCATTCGAGGTCATTTCTATGGGTATGCTTTTACTTTTCCGGATTTAGCAATGATTTTCCAACACTATTTAAAGCAAAAAAACATGCCAATATGTCTAACAAACACTTCATAAAGGAAGTGAATTGTTACCAACTTAGTCAAATATCTGTCTGGGATTTCTCAGACAGAAACTGAAGGAATTTCAGATACCAGCTCTAACTCTGCTTAAGACTTTGTGGGACCAGGCAGAAGATCTTGATTATTTTCATTATTTACCCAAGATGGACTTTATCAGATTGATAGTCACTTTGATATGAAGAAAAGCCTCTCTTTCATTATTTTCCTGGGGTAATAAATTTCTCCAGAATAGAAAAACATGTGTTTTGTATGATTACATCTTGAAAAATACTTTCATGCTTGTCTGTTTGTTCACTTGGTTTCAGCCACCTTGACTTCAGTCTTGAAAATACCTTATTTTTCTTCATTGCTGGGAGATATGAATTTTCCAACAAAGGAGCTGATATGTTTCTAGAAGCCTTATCAAGACTAAACTTTTTGCTGAGGGTAAGTAAGCTTCTGGAAATGTAGAAAACTTACTGTATTATAGAAGTCATGTGCGATAGTTTCTATTTCATACTCTGGTTTACAAGAAAATAATTATAGCACATTCAGGCTTTTCATACAGCTATCTCCCTGAATCATCAAAGCATACAACAATGCCAGATTGCTTAAAAATAATTGATTATGTAGCTCAAGAAGTTAATTTGTGGTTGCCACTCTTGTTTTTAAAGAAAAATACTAAAAATATGATTTAAGAGTTTACTCTGAAGGAGCACCTATCAGAAAGAAGATAAAAAAATAATCACATAATAATACAATTTAAAAAATATTTTTATGCTAATAACTTAAATTATTTTCCCATAAATTAAAGATGGCTTTATTGTTTTACTGTTACAACGCGCTTGTCAGCTCCAGATTTCATCCAAAACTATTCAAAGAACACTTGCTCTGTAATTACTTCGGAAGGGGATTTTGGCTGGGATCAGAAGGATACTCTTACTATTTGTGAGCCTGAAAATGATGGTGAAATTTAAACTAGGCTCCAGTAGTGTGCCTGAACCTCAGAAATGCTCAGCATTGGATACTTTGATACTTTGAAGACAAACTGTATACCTTAATGACAGTTTGTTAATATACTCTAATATAATAGCATATAGACTTTTGAGCTGCCCTAAAGAAAGGGAAGAATCTTAAAATCATAAGTGAATCTTATTATTTTACACTACACATTTTTTTGTACCTCCATCTGATAGAAGCACACCAACAGTATTTTTGTTTGTCCAATGTTTATAGAGTGGAAGCAATTCATAATAATTTTTACAGCTCTGAGCAGTTTACTCTTAGCTTTCCTTTAAAGAGTTGCTGACGAGAGTCCAGACTTGTTCTGCTCCATATGAGGAGTCTCTCAGGAACTTGATCTTCTGAAACTTGTTTATGCACAAGAGAAGTAAATGAAACCATCTATAACCAAAGGGTTGGATTTTACATCTCGTGCTTTTTGCCTTTGGAGTAGCTAGATGTAAGAAATGAGCAAGAGGTTACTTGTGTTTTTTTTGTGTGTGTGTCCGGCAGGTTCTGTGTTAGGGATTCAGACATACAGTGGTTTCTGATAACTCTTTTAGAATTTACACCTGGGGCATTGCTGCAGAAGATTGTTCTGCTTGCTGTATGGAGTCCCCTGCCCCACATCTGTGCACTCCTCATCTAGTAAACTAGTTTCTCACTCCTTTAAGCCAACCAAGTTTATGTCACATGAGAAAATCTGTTTGCTATTTTTATTTTTATTTTTATTTTTATTTATTTTTTTGCTGTTTATATTCATATCCTAAGCCATGCTTTACTAAACCATGAGAAGCCAGGAAGATCCACGTTGATCAAACTGGAATTGAGCAACTGATACCTGTTTATCGGTATCTATTCTCAGTTATATTCCTGACTTGATAAAAACTTGACAGCTAAAGGGAGAGGAGTAAGATCAGAGCCTTCCTGAATGACCAGTGAAAGTCTGCTGGGTTTTGCTGTGACTATTTTGTAGTGTTAACGTGGGCTTTGATACCCAGTGGTGAGTTTTTATTTTTTCTCTCCATCTCATGTCTGTTCAGGTACATAAGAGTGATGTTACAGTTGTTGTGTTCTTCATTATGCCAGCAAAGACAAACAATTTCAATGTGGAAACCCTGAAAGGACAAGCAGTCCGGAAGCAGCTCTGGTAATTGCCATTTTCACTGAGAACCTTGATTAGGGAGACATATTGATGTTTCTGATTAAGATTAATGTTCTTTCTTCTTGTCACAGTTTGTTATGAGTTTAGAAGGTTGTTTTTTTAAAAAAAAATTATTTTACTACTTTCCAAACAAAAAAGCAAAATAGAATTCAACCACTGAATCTCATCTCCCTTTAACTACTCTGTGATTCTACACAGGAGGAGATACGTGAGGTACTTTCACACTGAAACACATCATAGAACTGAATGGTGATATTCAAAGAAAATCAAGAAAATGAAGGATTAATTTTGTTTAAAGAAAAAGTGGAAAATGTAATTTCATTCAGCGTATTTACAGATTAATTATCTAATCAGGGAAATTAAAATGTACACCCTATCAGATGAGCAAAACAGTTAAATACTTTTACTGCAGAAGTAAGGAAGCTGATTTTTAAGCTAACGGACAAAAGCTCCTAGCTTCTGCCTTGATACGTGTTTCTCACTGTGTTTAACCTCTTTCAGATGCCAATTCCTTAGTTATAAAATTATAGAAATAGAAATGACTCAGAGATCTGTATATAAAAGGTACAGATTACGAAAAGAATACCGTTTAAAATATATATATCTTCTTAACTGCCTCCAGCAGATAACCTGTGGCTGAATTTCTGGGTATCAGGAGACAAGTTGAAACCTTTGATTAAAGAATAATGAAATTGCATACACGCAGCAACAGAAATAGTTTAAGGGTTATTGGAATATCTAGCTCTGACTGTACTTGAGAAAGAAGTCAGATATGAGAAATCTGTTTGCTTTCTAGATTATCTCTGGAGTCATCAAACAGTGACTTTGGGGATTTTCAGAAAATGTTTTGCCACTCTGAAAATGGATGCCACAAAGGTAGAGGCTGGAACTGGTTGTTCAGATGTGGCTTCCTAAAAAGCAGTGCCTCTGAGCAGCCTTCATTGGCAGTAGAGAGTGATGGTTCATTCCAGATCACAACTCATCCTCTACAACCTCAGGAAGAGTCTAAAATGGGCAAGCAAAATCATCTTTTGAAGTTGGCCAACACCTTCTGTGGATGTGCAGAGGATTTACACAATTATCTTCAAGTGTGGATGGCTAAAGTGCTGTAATATATCCAGAGCTTTTAATGAGAAAGTGTATGCAGGAACTGACCATCCAGGGAGAAATACCATTGAAGCCTGAACAGAATTAAATGGATGGTGTGTTGTTGCTGTCATAGGGCAAGATTCTGGCTCTACATCAACTTCAGTAAACTAATGTGAGTGCAGTGAGAGACAGCCATGCTTTCAATGGGCCCTTTTTGCCTCTGCCATATTTTTAATTTAATGCATGTAATGTTTGAATGCAATACAACAGGTATGTATTAAATAAATACTATATTTTAGGAAAGTTTAAATGAAATGCAATTTGCAGAGATTTTTCCCAGTTGTATCTCTATTACATGGCTGTTTCTCTGATACTCAGAAATGCAGGCACAATGGCAACTGTAAAAGTAAACCAAAAGGTGTGAAATCATGCAAAAAGTTCTGTTTCCAGATGTTCTTCCCACTGTCCTCTGTGAAAAGTAAAAGATCCTCTGTGTCCTTCAGTGCAACAATGCCACGATCATCATGTGAGCTGCTGTAAAAAAAACCACTTGCTATCACTGTTAAATAATAATATTAATTGATTTGATTTTAAGGATGCCACAAAAGTTAAGTACAGGGATGGCAGTTATCAAGAAATAGATGATGGCTGATATGGGATATAAAATATTTCTTCTGCTTATGAAACAGCAGCCTATCCTATCTGGGTTAAGTTTTGGAGATTGTTCAAGGCATGAGTCAATAAAACATAGCCATGAGTGGGCTAGCTTGCTGGTATTTGAATCAATTTGTTTTGACATTTAGCTGCTTCACAGCTCACAGAGAATTAAGTCATCTACTATTGTATCAGTGTGAGCCGAGAGAGAGCAACTAAAAATAAGTATGTGGTTTTTGAGCTTGGTAAAGTTTAGAATTTCACTCAACAAATTTTGTCCAAGTCCAAAGTCTAATTCTTAGAAATCAGAAAAGCAGGAAAAGTCCCATGAAAGTGGGCATTTTAGTCAGACTGAGAGTGTATTTGCTGTCTTGAGAGCACTGCTTTCAGCTGTACTTCCAAGCTCTTTCTTCTAGGATCAGGATGATATGGCTCTTTGCTTTAAGAATGGTTGTTCACTCAAGTTCTTTCTGAACGAAAATATAACACTTCTGTCACAGGCTTTATCATTAGCTTAAAACATGGGCAGGGCTTTCCAGAAAGATGTTTGATTTCCAAAACAATTTATGCCAAATTACTTGTTAATCTAACCCTTATTAAAAAAAAAATAAAAATTAAGTGAAAGAACAGGGCTGAAATGGAAGGAAGAATCTTGCTTTAAAATCACCATTTTTTTAACCTCTTGTATTGCTCATAAGGTCAAGTTAAACTGAAAACATCTGGGCCTTCAATGCCTATTTCTCTACTTAGAGTCACATATATGTCTTCTTTTTCATAGCTGAGATGAAAGTGTGACCTACTGATCAAAGTGCTGGAAATAATCATTAGTGAGTTCTGTTTCTGGCTTTAGCAGTTAGTTCATCATTGGGTACAGATTGTATCCTCTGTTGCACTGAAATGAGTCATGGCTGCTGGTTGGGTAAAAGACATTTGAGAATTAAACCTCTGCTTCTGCATTCTTGGTTCCACCAGCACACAAAAGCACAATATTATTTACAGCAGCAGGGATATGTTTTATTCTGTCTTTGAAAAGGATTCTCATGTTTATACATAAATGTATTTATTTTCCTAGGGACACTGCACAATCCGTGAAAGAAAAGTTTGGAAAGAAACTCTACAATGCCTTACTAAAGTGAGTGTGTAGGTTACTTTGTCCTGTCTTGCAGGGCCACATATTCACGTGGCTTACCTATAGTGATTTGGTGGTTCTACTCTTTGTCTAAGAAATATTGGGGTCTACAGAAAGGATATAGGAGAAGGATATGGGACCCTCTGTGCTGCATACAGGATAGTTGTATGATAGGCAAACCACAGATGAAAAAATTAAAGGTACTAACATCCCATATTGTAAAGGATCTTAAGAGACATGGGGGATGTTTATGTAATGCTGAGAATTACTCATGGACAAAAATGAGCACCCGAGACAAATATGGGTTACTGAATTGGTCGTATCCTTTCAAAAGACAGCTGATGTGAGCTGGAAGTGAATCATCCAGAGCTAAGAGGACTGAAACTTCAGCAAAAATAAAGTGTGATTGAAAAACAAAACAAAACGAAAATTCCTTTTGGAGTTTTCTGTAAGCTAATTGGAAGGATAGCAATTTTGTGGGAGAATAAATTGTAGGGAGCGTAGAAGGGACAGGAAAACTAAGGAAAGATTCAGGTTGACATCAGCAGACTTCGGATCAGATCTTGTTTATTTCTTCTTTTTTTTTTTTAAGCATCTTTAATGCAAACTCATAATGCTAGTTCTCAGAAGGACTGATAGTAAATCATTTGGTAAACTAGGCTCTGTGTTGCCTCCGCAGAGGAGAAATTCCAGACTTGAGCAAGATTCTTGACCGGGATGATATAACCATTATGAAAAGAGCCATCTTTTCAACTCAGGTCAGAAAGCAAATTATTTATATGAAAATCTACTGTGTAAGTTAAGCACAGCTGTGTACAAGGATTGTGTATGACATGCGTGCTTTGAAAAAAAAAAAAGTTTTTAACAACAAAAAAAAAAGTTTTTCACTGGTAACATTTAAAGATTGTCTGTGATTGTTTTTGGGGAAAGTCTGATGCAAAATAATTATTTTGGCAAATCTGCAAATCTTCCCCCAGTCACATGCAGGACACCAATGCTGAGAAAACTCTTTTCTTTTATACAAAGTTCAAAGTCTTTGCATTGTTTCTGAAGCTTGAATTATTCCATTTGAATGAAAGATGTAAATTCAATCCCTTAGGAGAGTTAAGGTCAATCCTCTGCCACAAAAAACAAGTAGAATAAATATGGTAGGCATTTCTAAAGTTAATGCAAATACATTTCTTTTGAGGTAAATTAGCCTGTGACAGCTTCTATGGTCTATTTTGTGTCCTGGGCTCTGTAAAAAAACAATGTTCCGTTCATGTCTTCAAATGAAATGGTAAAAAGCCATCCACATTAAAAGCAAAATTTCCCAGTGTCATCCACTAACCTCAGAAAATGGTAACAGGACACTTTTCTGGGAGCTTTGCCTGGCTCAAGGATTGTCTTTTCTCTTTTAAGCGACACTGTCTGCCTCCGGTGACCACCCACAACATGATTGACGATGGCAATGATCCCATACTCAATACCATCCGACGTATTGGCCTTTTCAACAACCGAACAGACAGAGTAAAGGTACCTTCTGTTGTTTTCTCATTCTAGATATAAAATGGAATTAAAGAGTCTGAATCTGGATCATTAGCATAGAAAGAACAGTCGAATTCCTGATAGAGAGTCAGTAATGTACTATTTTTTCCCTCTTGCCCCCTTTCCAGGAATAATGATCCAGTGAGCTCTGAGAATAGAATACAAACTGTTTGAATAATTAGTCAGTAAATTGCATGTAATACTGTAGACACCTCCTCCTGCTTCTCAACAGGCTTGACTGGATAGGTTGTACAAAACTGGCATTACAACAGGAAAATTACCTACTATACCAACAGGCTTAGCACCTAATAAGCTGAATGTCATGGATAAAAATTCTGTAAAGTTGAAAGAGAAAGTCATCTTGAGACGTGTATTACACGTCCATGAAGACACAGTTAGCATATGAAAAAGCTACAGTGATGCCAATGAAAAATCTTACTTGATTCCTTGGGATCAAATAAGCTTGCATAATGAGTTTACAAGCCATTTACTGGCTGAATACAATTTACCCAAGAGAGTAACATGATTATATTATTAAGAACAGAGAAAGGCATATCCCTGACATGGAATAATGTTCAGAGTATGTAAATGCAAGGAAGAAAGGCCCAGAGAAGGTTTAACCCTTCCCTCATAATCCTTTCTCCCTGAGCTGATTGGGCAGGCTATACAAGGTGCTTCTCTGCTTGACAGTGGAATATGGGGCAGTGACCTCAAACCCAGCAGAGTCATGCAAACAAATTAGCTTGGGTCCTGGAAGAGGGATATTAACCTAAGCTAATAAGCTTAGTCTTTCAGCAAGATCAGTTAGCCCAAGTCCAGAATTATGGTGATGGCATTATAATACATCTGGTTTCAGTTATCCTCTGAGAACTGCAAGCATTCCTATTTTTCAGCTGGGTGCTCTGGAGCACTGTGTTCTTATGAGGCCTCCTCTGGAAGAAAACATCCCAATATTCAATATTGTGGTACAACAGACCAAGAGAACCAATGTAGTACTGGTAAATGTTACAGCCTTAGGCATAATCAACAATGTGCATGGCCCTTCTTGAGCAAGAAGAACAATGCCAAAGACCCATTCAGAAAATAGTGTTCATTATCAGTATTATTTCCAGGACAAGACTACATACAGACAGGTTACAAGATAATGCATTTTAGTGTGAAATTGAATTAGATAACAGGATGGACAAGGAAGGTATTGTCCAAGTGTTCAGAAGAAGACCAAAGTGAAAAAAATTACTGAAGCTTACTGATAAATGCAATGCATTGATGATGCTTCTCTTTCACCTCTAATGTAATTTTTGAATATCCAGGTAATAGTACATCCAGAGTTTCTTTCTTCGACAAGCCCGTTGCTGCCCTTGGACTATGAAGAATTTGTTAGAGGTTGTCACTTGGGTGTATTTCCATCATACTATGAACCCTGGGGTTACACTCCAGGTAGGCAATCTGTACATTTTAATAGGTATCAAAAGATGAATACCCGTTCTGCTGATGCAGAATAGATTTAAAGCCAGTTTCTTCTAGAGTGCTGAAAAAACTCTTTCGACTCTGTTTCCTCTGCAGTGCAAAGGTCTTACTGCTGAAAAAATTTGGGGGCCAGGTGGTATTAAATGGCATCTACTGACTGACAGCTACTCAAATTTGTCCCTGCGCTGGACCCTTTTCCATACTAACATGTAATCTTTCAATTTTCTGTGGGTTTAGAACAAAATAAAATAAAATGAAAAAGTCATTTTTAAATATAATTTTTAATTTGCATAGGGGATTTTAAAAGATTTAGAAGAATGTGCGTATTGAAAAACAGAGAATAGAGCAAGAATTCTGATGCTGCCAGCAGACATACTTCAGTGGGTTTAATTCAAGATAGCAATTAAGTTTGGTATGTGTATGTAACACCACATCTAAGATATTTACCACAAATACCTACATGAAGTAATAGATATTCTCACAGACTTAAAGGGAAATTTTTTAAAGATACAGAGAACATTTAGTTTTAGGTTCAAAAAAATTTACCCAGACTTACAATGGGTACTTAACACCTAATGAAATCAGTACAAACCATAAACTTGAATGTCTATCAAGATCAAAGCCTAGGTGCCTGTTCTATTTTGTATATCCTGCAAAATATCTCCTGTAATCTTGATACACATCTGAACATTTGGATGCTCCTCTGAAGTGAATTCGCGGTAAGCCAGTGAATCAGAATAAAAGTTTTGTGAAGTTGATCATTCTCCAGAGCTATTTCTCACTACTTAAGAGAGCTATCTAATTCCAATGCAAGTTTTGGATTCTGGCACTTTCTCTTCCTGTTTTAGTCTCAGCTGAAGTATAAGGAAAATGTGACAGCCAGGGACGATTTTGAAATTAAATTTTAAAGTAACCTGACCAGAAAAGTTAGACTACTACTTAGCAGTTTGAGGAAAGCTGCAATTTACACTTGTTAAAAGAGTTATTTGTTTTGCTAATGCAGAACAGATTCTCTTTGTTGATATATCCATTTAATTCTCCCTGAAACAGAAAGTGTTCTTTTTTGGTGGATTTGTAGCTTTGCTGTATCAGCTTCATTGTCATATGAAGGAAGGCCATGTAGATGGCTTTCAGCATTTCAGTTGGAGTATTTTACTTCATATGTTTGTTGCTTTAGGTTAGGCTTAATATTCATCAGCAGAAACTCTTTAAGCAGGAGTAAAAAGTTATTCTTACTCATAACAATGATAGAAATAACTACAAAAGAGGCATGCATTTTACAAATTTGTAAAGCTGATTCCACATGTACTTTGAAAGCAATTCAAACTTAATGTTTTCTCTGTTGTTACTATAGAGACTAGTTTAAAAGCACCTAATAACAACATACAACGTATTGCATGCTCTTGCAATTAGGAGAATCAATTTTGCAAATAGTAATGAATCACCTAATTAACATTTGTGTGCAACAGGCTTCAGTTTAAAATGCAGACAGTCCAGGCCATGTATCACGATTCTGTTTCAACACTAGAATCCTGCGATTTTTTTCAGTTTAGCTACTGGAAAACACAAAAATATATTTGCAAAAACAGTATGAAATTTTCTCTTTAAAAATCCTTTATTTTTCTTTCTCTTTTCTTTTCCCCTTAATCCACAACAAAGCATTATAGTTTTCCCTTGATTTTTTCAGAGCAGCTCTAGTTTTATGGGACCTTCTGTTCGTCTATTTCATTTTCTTTTTTTCTCATGGGGTGAAACCATTCAAAACATATTGCTTTATATTATAAACATATTGCCTTATATTGCCAATATTTTTTTTTATCTATTTCTTTTGGCAGCTGAATGTACTGTGATGGGTATTCCCAGCGTGACCACAAACCTTTCTGGATTCGGCTGTTTCATGCAGGAACATGTTGCTGACCCAGCTGCTTATGGTAAAAATTTTTAACACCATATCAAAATAGTGCCTCTGAATTAGGAAGCAAAACCACAGCAACAATGCTTCAGCTTCTGAATTTCATGTTTTTACTAGTACAGTGCATTAGGAAAATACATTCAGAGCTCCAAAACTCTGGTGATGTTGAGCAACCTATTCAAGCTTTGATATTTATCCATTTTTTTTTCCAGGTTCTCTGTCTGTTATCTTTAATCTTTTGTTTGCTCTGTTGTTTCAAACTCAGCCCTCTTTATCCCACACATCCCTTCAAAACCTCTAGTTACACTGGAACACTTGGAGACCTTCAAAAGAAGCAGTGAAAATACCTTTGAGTAGTCCAAGAAGGATATGCTGGGACTTTGGGAACAGTGAGGCATGCCCTCATCAAACAAACAGTAAATTATCTTGTACACTAAAAATAAGCCTTTGACAATAAAAGGAGCCTACTTACAGATAAGAATCTGCTCATTAAACTAGAAAAATGATCCCTCATTAAATTGTGGTGAGGAGTACAGCCAAATCCCAGTACATGAAGACAATATTGAGAATGTGACCAAACTAAAGCATCTTACTAAGCACATTGGCTTGTCTGTACAATCAAATGGAAACATCTCCACGCTAGCCCCAATTATATCCTGACCTACTGGAAGGGATAGGGCCAGCTGCAGAATGTATCTACACCTGCTTGGCCAGACATGTCTTTGAAAACCTTTAGAAAGGTTACAGGTAGAGAGATGGGTCATTTGCTCTACTCTGCAAAAACATAGATGTGGGCAGTGACACATCTTAGGTAATATTTGTAAGACTATGTGACAGACAGTAGAATGGAAATGTAAGAGGTCAGATTCCACTTTCAGTTCAGCTTATCTTCACATTTTCTTTGTATCCTTTAGGCATCTACATAGTTGACAGGAGGTTCCGCTCACCTGATGAGTCATGCAACCAGCTGACTCAGTTCCTGTATGGATTTTGTCAGCAGTCCCGTCGCCAGAGGATCATCCAAAGAAACCGAACTGAGAGGCTCTCAGATCTGTTGGACTGGAGATACCTAGGCAGGGTGTGTGAAACTATTAATAGAGGTATTAAAAATTCCAGACACTCTGTCTTCAGCATCATGCTACAATGCAAGGAGGCATTCCTGTTCTGAAAAGCACCTGTCAGAGGTGCTAAAGATGATGGCTGCCTTTATAGTTTGGTGTAATTCTTCTATTGTCCTGTGGTAAGGATAGGCATAACTTAACTGAACGTGTTAGAGCAGAAGCCAGACACGGTGATCTCTTTCTACTCCTTATGCCAACTTCAGTACAAAAAGCTTATGTCTCTGAGAACCCTGGCAACTGTACAGTGAGTAGGATTTGTGCTCTGTAGTCTTTCAAGAATTCTATCTGTTCTTCCTAAAACGCTGCTAGACCTTGTGGCTCATCAGCACTCCTGTGCACTAAATCTGTGCATTAAAACAAAATAGAGTTTTTAATTTGATGTAGAAAACACTACGGTACCACCTACTAAGAAGAAATTAGCAAAGCAACGTTCTTAAATCTACAGGAAAAAAGAAGTGGATGGATGCACGTTTATCAGTTTTGTAACTATTTTAGATCTTGTTCTGTGTTGGTATCTGTGTGAGAATCTTTCTGTTTGTATGACTGCTAACACTGTAAGACTCTGACACAAGCTATTATTTTCAGTACAGGTGATGGTGACTGGTGATTATAGTAGATTCATCAACTATTTTTGACAAATCCTTTAATGTCACACCTCATCAAACTCATAAATATTTCTTCTTTTTAATGGTTACACAGTCTTCCTATGCGAAGATGAACCCAAAGTTTGAGTGTATACACATGTATATTTAAAGATGTAAAATTCTCTGGATAAAAAAGACCCTGTTATATGTTGAGAGATAAATACTAGTCACTCTGCAACTCTGAACTACACCAACCGTCATGAGTGCTGGTTTCCATCTTGGTACACCTTCTGCTTCAGTATTGCTATTTCCCAGTAATACATTTTTTACAAATATCAGTACCATTTGGCTTATCTTGTGTTCGGCCATTGTTCATCACCATCTTTGAGAAGATACTCATTCTTTGTTCCTTTTTTTTTTTTTTTTTAATCTAGCCAAGACTTCCTTGACTTGTAAAGATTTCTCTTTTATGTTGCAGTATTACATGCATGCTAGACACTTGGCCCTCAGCAGAACATTCCCTGATAAATTTGAGATGGAACCATGTGCTCCACCAAAGGTAAAATCTGCTTTTTGGAGATGAATTCATCTGCATTTTCAGTTACTTTACAGAGAGAAGGAAAAAGAATATGTGTGTGTGTGAGAGAAAGTCAATAAGGTTTTACTTAACTATAGGGAAGTTAACTCACAGTTAAAACCTCTAGTTGTAGACCCAAGCTCCAATCAGAACTTATAATGGTGTCATATGCAAACAGTAAGGGTACCGTGTGCAATACAGAAGCAGTTCTTCAGATGATCTAGAGTGACATGGATGGGTCTATGCCACTATAGACTAGCTGAGGAATTGGCCTTTGCAATTTCTGTTAGAAGAGAGTCCCTAATTTTTCGTCCAATTAACCCCATGGAGAAGTTCGGTACAAACTCAACTATTGAAGAGCAGTTGGGAAAGTGTAACTAGGGGAAAAAAAAATATTGCATTAATCTAAACAGAGGATGTGAGGAGGAGACTGGCTGTAATTTCAAGGGGTCAGTTTATAGGCACACTTCCAGTCACTTCATGTATAATGCATAATAGCATCAGTTTGAAAAGGGACCCAGTCTAAATTCCATGCTATTTGAACTAAATCTACAGAAACCACGAGAGCAACTTGTATTTTGAAATGAGAATGAGAAAGGAGGCTTAGGCCAAAACTCCTTGTTTGGCTCTAGTTCTGCAGATGTTGGCATTATAACTAGAAAACTGTTCAAACTTCAGACAGATTCTGAATTCAGCACATTCTGACTACAGAACTTAGAAGGATTTAATGTAATAGTGAGGATTTTAAAGCTCAGTAAAGATTATCATATTTTACAAGAAACCATGCTGGAAAGAAAGCCTATCTTTTATGACACCAGCTGAAGATCACTGGCATACAAGCACTTTCTAGCAGAGCAGGATTTAAGGGATCTGTGTTCAAAGGAATTTATTTTTGGAGCGCAAAGCAGTCTAGTTTACATCCATTACCCATGATTTGCTTTGTAGCAATGACAGTCTTAAATTGCTATACACAATCAATTAAGGAACACTGTGGTAATTTGTGTGCAATTTGATTCTCTCTCTGCCAGACGGAAGGTTTCAGGTTCCCAAGACCTTCATCAGTGCCACCATCGCCTTCTGTCTCTCAGCATTCCAGCCCTCACCATAGTGAAGCCGAAGATGAAGATGAGGATGAAAGATACGATGAGGATGAGGAAGCTGAAAGGGATAGGCAAAATATCAAGTCTCCATTTTCACTTGGAGTATTGCCACAAGGAAAGAAGAAACAGCATGGAGAGTTCAGGAACTGAATGTGTTACTCTCCATCCACGCAGAGTCTCTCCATGTATTTAAGAGTAAAGTAGGCATTGCAAGCTTTGTATTAAGGACAGTATGTTATATTTTAGGAGAATCTTAAATGACACTTGATCTACACTGTTGGGAAGCCTAATTTTTCTTCATCTTGAAAGTAGTTTAAATGACAATTCTTCTGTGCTCCTCAGAAGTAGAAGAATTTTATCAAGCTTAGTAAACTTAGAGAATGTAACAGTCTCCTTAAGCTTATCTAAAGTGTAGATCACACCTTTGTCTGCATAATCATCTACACTAATATTAGTTCATGCTGATAGTTCTGCAATGGTTGTTCCAAATGAATTCTTCCTTCATTTATGTCCCTCACTCCCTCCTCCCAAACTAACATAATCGTTAAGCCAGAGCTCAGAAAATTTAGAGAAAAAAAGTGTTACACTGGAGAAATCTTGTCAGAGGTAAAAAACTGAGAAGAAAATGGTCTTTATCTTTCCTTATGCTGTTTACCTTATTGTAAACTTGCATCATTTGAAACCTTTTTTACAGCACATGGAAGTGTCTTGGACTAAAACACACTGTGGAACAATATAAAGTCTTATGAGGTGGTCATTTGAATTATAGATACAAATGAAGTCATCTTCTTGAAGTCCTTTAGACCCACAATAAACAGCAGACTGTTTATTTTCTGACTCCTCTGGTATGTCTCTTTAATTGTTTTCATCATGTTTTACATTGAGTTTGTTAACAAACTAGTTCAGAGAGGAAATTAATGTGACTTGTCTAAAGAGAATGAGAAAATTAACTTAATTAGCAGCTGCACATGCAGACAAAGATATGCCACAGAACAATTCAAAGCGGTGTAATTTTAGTTCTTCCAATTGCCCGCTGGTTTGGGCTCTATTTCTATTTTTTGGCAGAGATCTGCCAACAGTTTATGGGCCAGTTTGGTCCAGTTGTGTGACTAATGGGGCCGGGGGAACCCATGGACCACAACCTGAGAGTGAGAAAGGGGAAAAAGTAGGGAGATGGACCAAAAAGAGAACAGCAGCAATGATCTGAGGATGCAAGTTAATTTACTAGATAAGATACCGGAATGCAAAGTGACACAATATAATACAATATAATTAGAATTGAAGCTAATAAATCAAATGAAATGAGAGTGTCCAAAAACTGAAGGCCTTACTCTAATGCTGAATGCAAGACTGCTAGAGAGCGCACACCACAGAGATGAGCAGAAAGGAAAGGGGACCATCTCACAACTTGTGAACAGTTTTATCGTTCCCTCTAAATGGGAAATGGAAACAGAACAATAAAAAGTCCTCTGGGAGATGTAGTTCTTCTTCGCTTCTGAGACAGGTATACTCTGAACTATCGACAATACATGAAACTGGAGCATTAGCTCTTTAACTCCCAGTGCTCTATATGATGTTATGATGTGGAATGCCAATAACAAAAATCATAAACCCATGACATTCCACCCCTTATTCCACATTAGTACATCATGCTTACTATATATATACAAACAATGATTAACATGCATTACACCCATACAAACATATATATATATACAAACAATGATTAACATGCATTACACACATACAAACATATATATACACATATATATGTATGTGGAATCACTGACTACTCTCCCTCAACATCAAATTCCCTTGTGGTACGCAATGAACATCCTGATTTTCCTGTGTCACCCACCAAGTGGACCCAGGTCCCTGAGCAAAAACAGTTCCATGGAGAGTTTTGCCCTTTCCAGAAGCTGGAAAGACCAAAACCACTTTTCCCAGCGTGCTCTTTACATGTACTACAGAGTCCTTATCTCACTCTACAGTATGTAGGGAGCTGGATTGGGCAGGAGCATCTCAATTCATAGATCCTCAAGCCATCAGCCAGGTGGCTTCTGTCAAATGATTCTCCCTATGCTTAAATGTTTCATCACCCATTATGTTCAACATACTTTTTAATAACATTGTATAGTTTGATTTTACCAGAAGATGGTGCATGACAAAGGTGCATGGTAAATTCACTCAATACCATGATATTTGACCAAGAATTTAAAGAGAATTTTTGAAATGAGTCCCATTATCAGATTCAATTCTTTCTGGAGTGCCATGTTGCGACAGTACTTGTTTCTCAAGACCCAATATGGTGTTTCAGGCGGTAGCATGGGGTACTGCATATGTTTCAAGCAACCCAGTGGTTGCCTCCATCATGGTAAGCACGTAACACCACTGCAAGATCGTGGCAAGGTGATACAATCAACCTCCCCATATTTATACTTTTGGAATCGCCCTCACCCCCAGAGAGGTTTCATCCTCCTGTTTTTCTTCAATTGCAGTGCATGTTTCACAGTCATGATTAACTCGTGCAATAGTGTTCATAGTTAAGTCCACTCCTTGGTCTCTACCCCACTTACATGTTGCATTTCTTCCTTGATGGTTTCATGGGCCAACATAACTAGAAATAATTAATGCTTGTTTTGTCAGTCTAAGTCTATTTGAGCCACCTCAGTTTTGGCAGCTCAGTCTATCTGATGGTTATTTTGTTGTTCTTCAGTACCCCAATGCTTTGGCGCATGAGCATCTGCGTGACACACCTTTACAACAGTAATCTTTATTCAGGCAGCAATGTCTTTCCACAATTCAGCTGCCCAAATAGGTTTACTCCGTTGCTATTTTTTTTGTTCCCACTACCATAACTATTCCCATAAAGCACTTACCACTGTCCATGAGTCAGTACAATGATAAAGCACTGGCCACCTCTTGCATTCAGCAATATGTAAGGCCAGCTGGATGGCCTTTACCTCTGCAAATTGGTGGCCTCTGCAACCTGCTGCATAGGGCTCCACATAGAAGATTTCCATCTGTGATGCTTCCCCACAATACAACATGTTCTATCTGTGAACAGTGCAAATTTCTTTTCATTTTCTAGTAGTTTATTGTATAATGGGACCTCTTTAGCACGCAATACTTCTCCTGGTGATGTTCCAAAATTTTTACTTTCAGGCCCATCCATGATCACTACTAAGATTCCTGAAAAACTGAGGTTCTCCATCTAAGGTCATTGTATAATCAACACAAACCACTTAATCCTAGTGGAATCAGTAGCCTAATGGGTAGAGGGACCTGTTCCTTTAAACATCCAGATTAGCACTGTCAGATAAGGTAACGGAAGGAGCAGCATTTCACTACTGATTACCTTGGAAGCAGCACAATCCCCATCATAGGTGGCAAAAATCTCCTTCTCAGTTGGAGTGTAGCACTCTTCAAATCCATTTTACAGTCAACTCTAGAATCAATAGTTTCTTTCCTAAAAACTATAGAATATCATACAATAGCAGAATTGCACGTGGAGAGCCTGCCGGACTTCCTCCTGTAGCCTAAGAATGATGGAATTGTAGAATCATTAAGGTTGCAAATGACCACTGAGGTCATCAAGTCCAACTATCAAAGAATCATAGAATCGTAGAATCACAGAATCATAGAATCATAGAATCCTGGAATTGTAGAATCACAGAAACGTAGAATCGTAGAATCACAGAATCACAGAATCACAGAATCATGGAAATGGCCTGGGTTGAAAGGGACCATAATGATCAAAGGGATCATAATGATCTGACAGCTGGGACACACGCCGGCCCCAATGGACCCTTGCCATCAGTGTCCAATTCCACCATGCAAATAAACTAGAAAGACAAACTGCAAAAATACGTGTTGGCATTGCTAACGGCACAGCCGTTGTTGCTTCCACATCCTCGATGCTTTCTCCCCTTTCTCCTGCTGCCAAGCCACTGCTGGCACTGTTGCATCCCGGTCAGGGACCCCATGACAGGGGAAGGGCAAATTTCTGCACCTGGGGGGAACATCCCCGGAGCGCATGACAGCTGGGGTTAGCCAGCTGGAGCGGACCTAGGAGTCCTGCTGGACACGAGGCTGAAGCAGCAAAGAGCCCAGGCTGCCTTGGTGAATGGCGTCCTGGGCTGCGCGAGGCCTGGTGCTGCCAGTAGATGAAGGGCTGAAATAGCAACAATCCACAGAACAGCACTACTAGCTACTCAACTCCCAGCGCACTGTGTGATATTATTACGCGGAATACTGATAACAAGGCTCACAAAAACATGACAAGACCTAATCATTAAATAAAATCCTACAATAATTCCAAATCCATATATTTTCCTCATACGGCATTTGGTAAAGATTATGAAGCTTCTTTTTAAAAGCATTGAGGACGAAGTGAATCTGTGAATGAGAAACAGACACCTGATTTGCCTGGCAAGTTTCAACTGTCTGTAACTTACATAGATACAGAGTGGCTGGATAAATATGTTTAGAAGTAGGTTTCAACACAAAGACATTAGTAAGGAGATTTTTCCTTTTTTGTGAATCAAGAATTCCTCACGCTGTTCAAGAAAAGCCCCTTCCAGGACTTGATTCAGCCTTTTCCTTATCAGGTAGGAAGATCTGACCTCTGGAGTTGTTTACCTCCACTGCTGTTTGGGGGTGAGGTAGGGTCAGATGGCCTGCTTTGAATACACACTGACCCTTCAAACACTTGACTGTCACCGAATGGCACTGGTCCTCCTACACAGATTATTAAGAGTAAAAGTGATTAACTGCCACACTCTGTATCTTCGGCCACGTAAAATCATTTTTAAAATTGCATTTTCATTCTTAAGCTAATCTGGATCACTGAAAAAAGATGCCGTGTCAGAAGCCTTGTTCTAGCTTTACTGCAGTATCTGAAATGAATTTTAAAGGAGTTTCTACTGTCCCAGATGATTTTAAAGTAACGAATAATTACAATTAATGAGTATTTTTCATATTAATGCAGTGAAAGCAAAAGTACTGCCGAATGTTCATAAAGTTTACTAAATGGAGAGTAGCTGCACTTTGTGAGCTCAAAGGTGTATGTTCTTCCTTGGAGTGGTTTTAATTAAAGTTACCTCAGAGTCAAAGGTTGAGAGTTGAACAAAAGAACATTTAGAGGTCATAATGATTGAAAGTTGATCTTCTCTTCCAAAAAAAAAAAAAAAATCAAGAAACTTGGCATTTTTACTTGCATTTCAGTGCATTGTTTTACTGAAGAAGTCTCATCTCACCTCAAATTTCCTTTCATCACAATTGCTTTAACATGATCTGAGGATGATCCAGCATTTCATTACCTAAAAATGTTCTAGTAGTATCAAGCTAGTAGACATCTATTTATCATCATTCCAGGCCCAGCTTCACTGCAATGCTAGAAGATGTGATCACTAGATACATCTTGTAAATGATCATGTTAAAGGAATTGTGATGAAAGGGAATTTGAGATGATATTAACTGTAAGCAACTACTGAAAATGCCTTTGGCCTGTCGTAGAAATTAATTTCTCCATACCTTCAGATGCATGTCTTTATATTGAGGAGAAACAACTTCACAGTTAATGTGTGCTAACAAAATAAAACATAACTGCTTGGACGCAGGGATCATGTAATGACTTTTCAATTACATGAGAACTACAGAGGGCTTCCCAGTAAGACCTCAATGCTATGTAAATAATGTTCCATACATCCTTATCAGCATGGAACTAGTTTATGTATGATTTCAGTTTATTTCAGTTTCAAAGCTTAAAAAACAGGCTGGCAAAATGGTACAATGATGATGCAATTAATAATCTATGTGCCAGTTATCATGTTTGACATGAGATTTGTAACTAGTGTGTCCCCACTAGCTCTAGCAGAACCATGCCTCCTGACAACAGAAGTGTCTGTATGCCATGGTCATTACTTGATGCCCTGATCCTGTGTTGACATACAGGGCCAGCAGTGAAGTGGTAAAGGAATCTACCTTTATCAACAATAAAAAGACTTTAATATACAGTTGGGTGGAAGGTGGTAAAAGGTTTTCCTATAACTATTGATAAATTGATATTAATGAAGTAATTGTCCAAAGGACAATTCATTCATCCTTTCAGCTAAGATGGTACAGTGGATCTTAAATTTTGGATGAGACATACAATATTACCTAAACAAGACAGGAACTTCACAAATGATTTTTGGCTGAAGTTTTAATCAGTTTGAAATTCAAAATGTTGCAATGAATATATACATCAATTTTTTGGCATTTAAGTGGAGGTTAAACACTGTTTGCACAGATCATGGTTTCAGGGTAGATGGAATACAAATGTTAAAGAAATTTCAAATGTTTCACCAGTTTGATAGATTGTCCATCAGGTAGCCAGGATGATCACTGTTTTCTTCTTCCACTGCAAGACAAGACACAATGGGAAAAAACAAATTGTAGATAAGGAAAAGTTCAATCACTTCAAGTTTCCAGGATATATGTATACCTCAGGGACAGCCCTAGTGTAATGTGGCTGATTAGCTAAGACATGAAAATAGAAGTAATAATGCCTTCTGTCATTTTAAAGGCAGCAATTTTTGATTATTATATCTTTGATTATTTTGTTAGGCTACTACTGCAATTTCAGTGTTATTCCATGGAGTTCTGTCCAAACAAGCTGCTGGTTTTGCTTAGATCTCTCAGATGTCTTTTTTTTTAAGGGGCTGTTTCCATCCCCTTTCTCTTGGAACAGAAACAGCAGGTAGGAAAATATCACTAAAATTTATGAATTGTGAACTTCAGAGAATTTTCTCTTTTTCTTGGTGCACACACAAAGAACACTTCCACTGTTTTATCTTCAGAAATGCTCATATACTTCGTCCAAACCCCCATGTTCTCTGTTAATTCTACCTCTTAATTCAGAATAGGCATTCCTTTGAGTTTAGACCAATAAAAATCTGAAAAGCAGATGAAAAGCTGAATACATTAAAGTTTGCATACTGTTGTTTCTCCTATTCTTGTTCTTGACTCTGTAAATGTACAACTCGATATAATTCACTCTGTTGGAATCATATTTCATTTAAAGACAAGTTTTTAGATTAAAGTGTTATGTACATACTAAAGCATATTTATAAGTACATTTACTAAAAAGTACATTTAAAGTACTTATAAGTCCCCTTTAAAAGCTCAGTTTAATACAAAACATATGTTTACCTTCTTGATCTTTCCATAATGACCTAAGGAACAATGCTGCAGCTTCAGAAAGAGATAAAGGATTTGTGTTTTGGCTGCGTGTTTCTAGAATTAAAAAAAAGTAATCATAGACATTCAGTTTGTTGTGTTTATTGGGACTTCTTTATATTGCTCTTTTCTTTTTTGTATTTACAACTAGAGACCCAAGGAGATATATTGTGTTCTCCTTTACAACATTATGTGCTCAAAGTCAGGCTGATAAGTGAGTAACACATAAGAGCTTATCAATTTCTTGCTAAAGGAGGTTATTTTAACATTCTTCAGAAAGTTAAAAAAATGTTCTCTTTTTTCATGCATTCTTCATTTTGCTACAGTTATTTCCTTTGTCTGACGTGGAACAATGTTCTCCACTTTTGTCATTTTTTCTGTTCAGCATAATTAATAATTGGATTTATTTTTCTTTCCACTGAAAAAAGAAAATCAAAGGGACTGATTCTTATCCCTCTCTACACCCAGTCTGTGTGGAACATCACCACTTATGAAAGTGAAGTCACATAGGTATACAAGAGAGGAGAACCAGGCACAGGAGAAGTCTTGTGTTTCACATGGTTTTTGGAGTGAAAAGTATATATGATGAGAGGAAGTCATGTAAGTGCTTCCTTGACCAAGATTCCAGAAAAGCAAAATTATTTCTCCTGTTCTCAAAGATTTCTCCCCTAAACTGAGCAAAGATCGGTGTTATATACACCTGTGCACATGTACTTACCAAGCTGCATTCTCCCATACAGATCCTTTCGCTGGCTCTCATCTGAGATGAATCTACGTCCCTCTAAAAGAACAGTGTGGAAAGAGTGAAAACAACTTCCCAAATCTGATGTAGTTGGTACCTTATAACCACCAAAGTAGTCTTTTCAAAACACAAAATTGCAGCAGTAATTCTACAAGCATAAAATTGGATGTGTTTATTCCTCCTGAGGTCTTTTGAAACGAGCAATAGCCCGTCCTGAAACAGAACACTCCAAAACATCTTTTATTCCATGAAAGTGTTGTTCCAAAAGTTTCCATGCTTGTATCATCCTGCTTAAGGAGATACAGTCTGGAAGAGTTTTCTTCAGTCATTCCTCAACTGCTAGCCAAGAACCTTCAGTCTCTTTGCTGGCCTATGAGGTATTGCTTTTAAAAGAATTTTTCTACATGAACTCAAAAAGAACTAGAAGAAGACTGGTATGCAAGCAATACAATCCATTACTCAGTTTGGAAAAAAAAATAAACTAAGGGGCTGAATTATTTGCTTTCATGAACAGAAATTGTCAGCAGAATTTATTTCACATGGTGTTACCTCACTGTTCTTTGTAGTTTATATATCTATATGTATCGTGGTTGTAATTGGAAGGAACCTTGCTCCCTTAACATATGCTTTGCCTGGTACAGTTTGAACTTTCAATTCCATTTGGAATTGAATTTTTAAAACTAGAAATGTTTTTGTTAAATGCTCTGGGTCTGAATCAAAGACCAAGGTCTCTCAGACTCAGAACATTATTTTGAATGCTGCTTCAACTCTGTCCTAATAACAGAAACTCGGAAGTTAATTTGCACAACCTTAATACCACATTATTGATAAGCCTGACATCCAGTTTCTCCTTAGAAAAGGTCACTTCTGGTCTGAATACTGACTATAATGCAAGATGCTTGTAGTAGGAATGTGTTATCCTATTGCTTGGGAAGATGTTTTAATTAAAGCCTGAATAATGATGAGGAATGATATGTATCAAGTGTGTGTTAAATCTCCTTTGAGATTATTTCAGTTAAGGAAGTTGCCTTTCCAATAGGTTTCACAATCAAGCTTCCAACTATGTATATCTTCGGTAGTTTCTGGTTTGCTTTTATTCTTTCAATAGTTGCCTTCTTCAGTTGGATCCCTTTAAAAATTAATAATAGTACTGGCAATGCCACTGTTTCAAAGGCAAGAAGAGATAACGATAAATGCATCTTGGCAGGCTTCAGAACTTCTACCTCCACAGCATCGTCAGGAATTTACTGCTTGTGTACAGCCAAACAGATCAGGAATAATCCAATGGTATAGAAAGTTATCTCCTCAAAATTTAAAGAGCTTAGAACTTACGTGCACCCTTCAAATAGAGCATAGCCTGAGGAGTCCAGTTTCTCCTTTGGAAATGAGCCTTTATGACAAAAAACAAGTGAAGAGACATGTCAGCACTGTATGACATTACTAGCAATTACAAGTATTAAATAGCACCGACCTGTGAGATAGAAGCTGTGCATTCAGCCCAAGTCAGCTGTTTACCTGAGGAGCACTCCAGGAAAAAGATAGGAAGGACACTGTAAGGAACAGTGCCAATGCAGATGCTGTCAGTTTACGCAGTCCCTGTGCACAGCAAAGAACCACAAGATATAGGAAAAGCTTTTCAGATCTGTAAATCTTCTCAACTTCAAATCTAAATGTGAGGGTATTTCCTCTTCCTTCTTTCTCCCTGTCTTGCTGCCCAACCTCACCATGATCTCTAGCTATCTCATCTTCAATACTCAGCGATCTAATGGGAGGATGAATGTTAAATCAAACACACTTATTCTTTTTGCTCTATTCTTCTTAAAGATGCATGAAGGTGAGAACTGCCATTGAGTCAAGCACCTTTTGTGCTTCTGTTTGCAAGGACTCTAGATCCTGCAGAAATAGGAATAATGTACAGACTAGCAGGGAAGTATGTTATAAAGTACATCTTGATTTCACCAAGTCTGAAGATAGAGATCAGACAATAAGCAAATGTAGGGGCTGGCCACTGCAAACAAAAGCAGGGAAAGCACATCACTACTTCCTCAGGAAACAAAAGTTTTTAAACTCAGCAGCTTATTTCCTTCAATCAAAATTACATACACTTCAAGAGGATTGCTTGCTGGATCCTTTTAATTTGTTTGCTGATGCAGCACATGCAGATGAAAGCACCAAGCATGAATCCTCTGTGAACAAACTGCATGTCCGCTTGTTTTGTGGAGCATTGATAACAGGGACAGGCATCAGAGAGCATCTAGCTCTGTGATTCACAGTGTTTTATTCCATCCTGTCTTTTAGAGCATGTTTTTAATGCAGTGGTTTCAAACACACTAAACACAACTATGTGTATATGCCTTCGCTGTTATTTCAAAGTTAAAATTACTAACTGCAGTCCCTGAAATATACTCACATGAAAAATCTTAAATTGCAAACAAAATGTTACCCACATACCAAAAGAGTTTCACTCACCTTCATACCTATTGAAGTAGCAAATCTTCAGTCTTCGTTTCTTGGAATAACGTGTCACAAGACCTCCTAAAGGTTTGGGGGCACCTTTTTAAATCTTCAGAGTGAATGTCCCCTCCCCTTCTCTGGTGGGCTGGAGAAGTCCAAAGGGATCTCTTTGTCAGCTCTGTAGATGGAGAAGTAGAAGGTCTAATGACTCCTGAGGGAATCCTGTAGTCTTGCAGGAAGTGAGGGAAATGATGAAAAGACAGATGCACTTGGAGATGCACCCCATTAGCCATGTGAATACTTTCTGAATGCATCAGCATCAGCTGCGTGCATTTGCAGTACAACGTCACCTTCTTGCCAGATGATCAATAAGTATGGCCAGAGGCAGGTATTAATATGAATAATGAGTATTTACCCAGGATAATATAACATACTATATAACAGGTTGTTATCCATTTCGGTAGCTGGAAAAGGTAGTAAATTACTCCCCAGTGATAATATGCCAACACTGAGAAAAAGGTGGCATATCCCATGTTACTAGCTTGAGGTTATTCCTACTTTACACTCAGAGAATGCAGTTTCTTGTTCACTTCTCTAACAATCTCTTGCATATGGTTTTCTTACACACAAATGAAAATACAAAGCTGAGTAACCAAAAAATAATAATTTTGAAAAACCACCAACCCTTTGCTGTCTCATGGATTTGTTGGAGTAAAAGCCAAATCATGGCTTGAAGAGGTCAAGTGGTGTAGCTGTTAACAGAACGGCAGGAAGTAGGAACGAGAGAAATCATTTCCATAAGCTACTTCTATTGGACTTGCCACAGTCATGTGTAGTTGTTTTGATCCTCAGACAAAGAGCTCATCATGCCTGGTACTTAGCCTTGCTGGTTCTGTATTTGACATTTTTATCTTCACTGTTTTCCTTTGTAAAATGAGAGAGGGTATCAGAAGGGGAAAAGGTGCAAATGGGAAGTGAGAAATTTGTTGATTAGAAGACTGAGCAATAAAAAATTTACTGTGGGACCTTCACAAACAGAAGCAGCTTGTTTAGTAGCAAAAATAAGAGTCAGCCTGTATGTGGGACAAATGCACACTCATGTATGTGCAGTCTGAATGAAGAGTATACAGGCAATGTTAAGATTTGTTAGGAACTTTTCCCTGACATGAGGTATATGTAATAGACTGCTCTGAAGGACACCACTACTGAAGGTAAAATTACTTTCCTGCTTTTGGGGAAATTTTGCTCTGTTCTGTGCTAATTCCAGTCATAATTGGTCATCCCATGTAACTCACATTAGCTGTAGCTTGCTCTGGCATAGATGCAGTAAATTAAATGAAAGTTTAGGTTTTGATCTCATGCAGTTCTCATGGTGATTGGGAACTGCCACTGTACCTCTATCCTTTAAAAAGGCCATGCCAAGATGGAGCTTTATGCAGCAGAATGTATTCTACTTGCATCTTCTTCAATGTGAAATTTACATTTTCCGTGCTATTTTCTTCATGCTCTGACAGATCAGAGACTTTTCTTGATGACATTTAACCCTCAGCCTTAGGAGAGGGTTATGCAGTGCATTCATGAGACATTTGACAAGCAGGAACTCGAAAAAGATACAAATACTCCCTTTGTAGCTGCCTCGGTGCTGCTCTTTATGCACAGACCAAAGGTACAGAATCACAACGCACAACAGAGTCTGTGAAAATTAACACCCAAAGTTCACTTCTTCTCAGTATAAAATACATTGTCTTCATGATTATTGCCCTTGTGGAAAACAACCAGAATGTACTAGGCACTGAAAATAAACTCCTGTTCTCCTGCCAGAGAGATGGGACAAGTTAACACAATCTATGGAGACATTCAGCTCTACTTCTCCTATAGGAACTGAGGGGGAAGAGGAAGAGAATGGGAAATATGGAAAATGATTTAGATAACTACTGTATTGTAGAAAGAAAACTTCAGCCTTTCTTATCTTCTGACCACTTTCTTAAGTCCTGAGCTGCTTGAATTTGGTGGTGTTGAAATCCCAGGCTCTTGCAAGCATGGCCGTGTTGCCATGTTGTCATCTTCTCATAGCAACTGCAGCTTGTTTGTGACTATGCAGAAGACAGCAGGGAGGAGACAGGTCAGACCCTAAACTGACTTACTGTAAGATTAAGTGACCATCATCTCAAGAGCAAATGCAGGACCTTGCCAGCATCCTCTTAAATTAGCCAGAACTGTTTTAATGCTGTAATGTTGGGTTTCTTAATGGCAGTAAGGTGTTTAAAAGTGTAAAGTTACTTTTCTGTCATTAGCAAGAGTCAGGCTTCCTTGCCTAAACACAATCCAGAACACCTAGGACACCACATAGGACCTGCAGGAGACCCAAGACCTTGTGAGGAAGAAGCTGGAGGGTAGGTAGGATTCCTAACGTACCTAAAATGTCACTATTTCCTTGTGACTAGGAACTGAAGCACTTCTGCAGTCTGCCTTTCAGTGGAGAGAAACAGGACCTTGAAACACACCTCCTGGCCACAGAGCTTACGACATTAGGAGAGAATACCCATCTGAAGATGTCCATTTCTCTTTGCTGGCTTCAGACAGAGCCTAGACAGATGGCTTTTTACACAGACCTGATCAATTGAAATGAACCCAATTCCCAGTTAAATTTCCTTATTGGTATAACATTAGGACCTTCGTAATCTTAAACCTAACAAGTGTGGAAATCAGCAGAGGCTAAAGAAAAAAGATTTTCTATTTCCTTAAATTCTTAGTGCCTTTGTGACTTTTGAGCCTTGAATCTATTTAGTTTTAGTATGAGTAAGTATTCTAAGTTGCCTAGATATTTTAACAAATGTATCTCAAAACCATTTCCCTGGAAAGAAATAAGAAATCTGTGTGCAGAACAAGGAACTCCAGATTTGTCAATTCTACCTTAGTGATTAAAAATTTAGACACTTCTCCCTTTATAGCTTTCTTGCCGTGAGTCTGTGAGAAGTTGGGCATCTCACTCTTCTCAGAAATCTAGCTACTTCTGGGATGGCAGGGGAGACATGATTTATTTGCAAACTGCAACAGAAGACAGTACTTTCAGAAGGAAATGCAGAGTACTTGCATTCACCAGAAAAAAAACCCCAAACCCCACCCAGTGGATGTGCATAGGCATGTATAAACTTATACTGTTGAAAAATGAAGTAGCCTGTAATTGGGTTACGGATCATAACACACTAAATTCTACAGGACTTCAGGGTGATGAGCTGTGCATGAAACACTCATTGTCAATCCTGCCATTTCTCAGCTGATTCACATAAATGAGGAAGTGGCTCTGGCATGTAATCAATACTCTAAGTGAGGGAAGTAGAGTGAAGCTCACTGTAGCAGCATGATCCCTTATTAGAAAGAACATAACCTATGCTTATTCTTAAAGATGATCTAAAGGGCAGAAGCTGCTTATCCTGGCCCTGTAAATGATAAAAAGCCAATTTCTGGGATTGGCAGTCAGTGCTGACGTGTGTGAAAGTTATTGCGTGGTGGAGATTTACCTTTTGGAGCCAAATATATATTGGTGACTTTTGTCACGACCGTGTGTTTTCCCTGTTGATGATCTGTTTTTTGCTCTTGAGTGAAAGGTGTAGCTGTTGTATGTAGGTGGCCAGTAGATACATCAGCAAGTATGGTATTCTTATAGTATCAAGGTACAAATGTACCGTTACCATGACCCTTTTCTCTTACCCTCATTTCTTCTGTGCATTCCTCCTAGTATGTTAACTCTTTGGCAATTTCATCTCACTGCTGTCTGGTATGTGAACAGCATCTACCACAGCATTGCTATAGCTGATACGTACTACCCATTACGTCTTAAAAGATTGAACTACTTGAGGCAGAGTCTGCAAAGTAGGAAATGGCAAACAACTAAGATTTTCGTTTAACACATAGCAAGGGAATTTAAGCTTGTTGATAAGGCGCTTCCAGTGGTAGCACAGTGAAATATAGATTGCCTTAAAAGGCTATGGATCTATAATCACTGAGAAGCTTAGAGAATAGATTAGCCAAGCCAGTTTTAGAATTAGTTGGTAAACTGATCTTGCCCTGGGACAGAGTGATGAACTGTATCATTTCTGAACATCTTTATCTGGCTCTGTTTTTTATAATTCTGTGATGTTTCAAAGCTCATTCTGGATTTTAGCACCATACGTCCAGAATGGCGTAAACTTTATGTCCAAGTTCTATATTCACCTTGTAAAATCTGTTCTCTGAGTAAAATTATCTGTCATCAGTTGACATAGAAGAAGCCTAAAATGTCATGTGAACACGCTTTTCAGCACTGTTTTTCAGAATGGACCCAAATTCTCTGAGCACTTGTATTTTCATGGTGCAGTTCTGAAAGGAAGAGAAGCAAGGCATACAATTACAGAGATCATGAGTAGCTGGAGTAAAACTTAACTACTCTGTTGCCCGTTCAACACAATAATGTCTGCATGATTCCTGTGCTACTGCATCATTTCTGAAGCTGCTTTTCTTCTTTTCTCTAGACTTTACAAGAAGAACTGTACTAAAAACTGCTTGAGTTACGGTGCAAGATGTAGAAAAGTTTGTCTGCTAGGGACTGTGTAAATTGCCTCACACAGAGCCTTTGTTGAGATCTACAATGTGACCAATGCTGTGTCCAGGTACTACTGTTTTCAGTAGAGTTTGAAAAGAAAGAAGAAATTTCAAAAGGTAAAGTAAATGAATGAATTAATTAATCGATAAGTTAAATTGAAGATATTAGATGAGGCAAGGAATATTTGTAAGTATCAAGAAAGAAGAGAAATAAACAAATATTTGAAAGGTGCAAACATCACAAAAAGAAGTATTAGTTGTGAAGTTCAGTGACCCATAGAATAGTACAACATTTTTTTCATGGTTGGAAATGTCTGGGGCAAACACCAGGAAGAAGAGTCCAGCTGAAAAAGTTTTCTTCAGTTTGCAAGCTGGAAAAGAGATCTGACCACCTAAGTAAATGCATTTACCATGTAAGTTAGCAGAAGCATATACTATCA